ACGGCTGAGGATGCCGAAAGGGTTCTGGTCGAGCAGGCCAAGAGTGCCGGCGTTCCTGGCTTTTCCTTTGATCCCAATGCCTCTATAGAAGAAAAGCGTGCTCAGGTTGCTGCTGTAGGGCCCATCTTTGGTTCCCAAGTACATGTGCGCATTTGTGCTAATCACATACCTCGCTACAGGCCATCCCTCCTGGGCTTCACCATATTAGACAAAACAGAGCCACGGCTATCGCAACTGACGTCGATGACGGTACTGGCCCAGATGAAGACCTTCCAGAACCGACCAAAGCAGGTGCCCTTGACGTGGGCAAAGATGAACAAAGCAAGCAGCTGGCCAATGGAGTTATAGAGCCTGTGGAAGAAGAATTCTCGCGAACTGGCTGGGCTCCTCAAATTGGGTGGCCTGCCGATAGTACACTCGCTGGTGAAAGTCTGCTCGACCACACTACATGGGTGGAAAGCCAACTGCCGGATCATCTATACGGAGGTAGGTTTCACTAGCCAAACAGAAACAATGCCGTCGGCTTACACAGATGCAATAGATTGGTACCACAACACTGGCGTCATCATTTTTGCCTGCATTTCATCATGGCTGGTAGCGGTTTTCGGCGGCGGCCTTGGTTGGGTCATTATGGTTATGGCAATTTGCGGCACCTACTACAGGACTTCTCTCAGACGAGTGCGCCGAAACTTTCGTGATGACATTACTCGAGAGCTTGCCCTCAAGAAGCTGGAGACTGACCACGAATCTCTCGAATGGATAAACTCCTTCTTGGTCAAATTCTGGCCCATCTACCAGCCTGTCCTCGCCCAGACCATTATCAACTCCGTCGATCAAGTGCTAAGCTCCGCAACGCCCGCCTTTCTTGACAGTTTGAAGCTCAAGACGTTTACATTGGGTACCAAGCCTCCTCGAATGGAACATGTGAAAACGTACCCCAATGCGGGAGACGACATCGTCCGAATGGACTGGAAATTCAGCTTCACGCCTAATGACACTGCCGACATGACTACGCGCCAGCTTAAGAACAAAATCAACCCCAAAGTCGTGCTGGAAATCCGAGTCGGAAAAGCCATGATCAGCAAAGGCCTCGACGTCATCGTAGAAGACATGGCCTTTTCCGGCATTATGCGAGTTAACATGAAGCTACAGATTCCCTTCCCCCACATTGAAAAGATTGAAATGTGTTTCTTGGAGAAGCCAACCATTGACTATGTTTGCAAGCCCCTCGGTGGTGAAAGCTTCGGTTTTGACATCAACTTCATCCCCGGTCTGGAAAAGTTCATCTTGGAACAGATCCATGGCAATCTAGCGCCCATGATGTACGCTCCTCATGTCTTCCCTATCGAGGTCGCCAAGATGCTGGCTGGGTCGCCAGTCGACCAGGCTGTTGGCGTGCTCGTCGTGACTCTCCACGGAGCATACAATCTCAAGAACACTGACAACTTTGCGGGCACTGTTGACCCTTATGCAATTCTTACTCTTAATGGCCGCCAAGAGCTTGCACGGACCAAAGTTGTCGATGACAATGCTAATCCCAGATGGAATGAGACACATTATATCATCGTCACATCCTTCACCGACACACTCAATATCCAGGTCTTTGACAAGAATGGCTTTCGCAAATCCAAAGAACTGGGCATGGCTTCTTTCCCCTTGGAGAGAATTGAGGATCTTCACGAGTACGAAAATGAGCGTCTCGATGTTGTTGGTGGCGGCAAGAGCCGTGGTGTCGTCTCTTGCGACCTCCGCTTCTTCCCCGTCCTTGAAGGCCCGATTGGCGACGACGGCAAAAAGGGACCTCCGCCAGTTTCTAACCAGGGTATTCTGCGCTTCACTGTCGAGCAGGCCAAAGACCTGGATGGCACCAAGAGTCTTGTTGGCCTCTTGAATCCCTACGCTATCATGTTCCTCAATGGCAAAGTCATCCACCAGACAAAGAAACTCAAGCGAACCAATAACCCCATCTGGGATAACGGGTCCAAGGAAATTCTTATTACAGATCGCAAGAAGGCTAAACTCGGTGTCACTATCAAGGACGAACGAGATCTGTCCTCTGATTTGACTCTCGGCAAGTACCAGATTAAGCTCGACGATTTGCTAGATTGCATGGAACAGGGCAAAGAGTGGTATGAGCTCTCGGGAGCACAAACTGGTCGAGTGAAAATGACGGCACAATGGAGGCCAGTAGCTATTTCAGGCGTTGCTGGCACCGGCGGCTACATGACTCCGATTGGTGTTATGAGACTCCATTTCAAGAAGGCGAATGATCTCCGCAATTACGAGGCTTTTGGCAAATCTGATCCCTATGTTCGAGTGCTTCTTTCTGGTATTGACAAAGGGCGAACGGTAACTTTCAAAAATGACCTGAACCCCGAATGGGACGAGGTCCTCTATGTCCCAGTTCATTCTGCACGAGAAACGCTCACTCTCGAGGTCATGGACGAAGAAAAGCTTGGAAAAGATCGCTCCCTCGGACTGTGCGAAATTTCTACCGCTGATTTTATTCAGCAGGATGAAGTTGGCGAGTATCTCATCAATGATACAAAGCACGTTTTCCAAAGTGACCTTCGTATGCACGGAAAGGGCATGCCCAAGGGTACGCTAACTTATACTGCTTCCTTCTTCCCTTGTCTCAACATCGCCGACCCTGAGGAGGAGGCAGAGGAGGCAGAGGAGGCCAGGGCCGCAAGTGAAGAGCCCAAAACTCCCTCCGACCGACCACTAAGCTCCGCATCCAAGGCTCCATCCCGACAGTCTCTCGATGCATCTAGGAAGTCAGTCGACGTTTCCAGGAAATCGGTGGATACAGGCAAATTAAGCCCCAGCTTTGGTGAAGATGGCCGGCCTATATCACCGTCGTCTATACGGTCATCGTTATCGGAAGAGAAGAAGGGTCCGCCCAAGATCCATCTGAGCCCTGAGGAGCTTCTCAAGTACGAGAGTGGTATTCTCATCTTCAGGCTCATGGAGGCAGAGATGCCCGAGAGGGACAGCCACTTGGAAATTTTCGTAGACGATATGGCCTACCCATCTTATACGTCTTCAACGGTACCATCAAAGGCGCACAAGTTCGACGAGATTGGCGACTGCGTTATCCGAGAACTCGACTTTTCTCGCTTGACACTCAAGGCGCGAAAGAAGGGCGATGATGTTGACGATACTTTGGCATATTTGGCCGGTAACACGATGGAGACGCTGAAGCAATGTTTGGTAAGTCTTGAACGCAACAAAGCGCTTTGCTTTGCTTTACCTCTGCTCCTTCAAACTTTTGCTTTTCTAATGTCATCTATAGAACAATCCCACAACATTAAAGTTCAAGAGCGACGATGGCAGGACTAGCTGGGTCAAAGTCAGCCTCAAGTATATTCCCCTCAAGATGGATCTCGATCCAAGTGAGAGTATCAACAACATGGGCAATCTCCGTGTAGATGTGTTGAGCGGCCACGACTTGCCTTCAGCGGACAGGAACGGAAAGAGCGATCCTTACTGCAAATTTGAACTCAACGACGTGGAAGTATACAAGACAAAGGTCCAGAAAAAGACACTGTCGCCCGTTTGGAATGAATTCTTTGAGGTAACTGTGCCATCGAGGACGGGAGCCAAGTTTATCTGCAACGTCTACGATTACGATTTTGCCGACAAGCCCGATTTCTTAGGCGCCACTGTCATTAGACTTGACACTATGGAGCCCTTCAAGGCGATGGAGCAGCACTACCCGCTGGAGGGCAAGTCAGGAAGCATCAAGCTTAGAATGGTTTTCCGGCCTGATTACGTCACACGATCCAGACAGGGAACATCCACGTTCCAGGGCACCTTTGGCGGAGGTTCGCGCATTGTCACCGGAGTGGCTGGCGTGCCATTCAAGGGAGCCAGCGCCGTTGGCCACGGCGTGGGCAGAGGCGCATCTTTCCTGAAGCGCGGAATCCTTGGTAAAAAGGATCGCGAGAACTCGAATGGTTCGCTGTCAGAGCTCGCAGAGGCGCCAACGCTGCCCGGTATGCCCGGTGTGCCCAGCATCATTACGAATGGCAGCGATTTCCCTGCCAGCAACAACAGCTCCAGACCAACAACCAGCGCTGTCGACGGTTCCAAGGATTACCCTCCGCATTTGATGCCGGAGGGCGGCTCAGGTCATAACAGGACCAGGAGCTTCGGCAGCTCTTCCGTTCATAGTGCCGTCGGTGTCGGCGCACCAACCGGAACGGGTACAATTACTATTGTGGGAGCTTCGGGATACCCTCAGTCGACGGACTTGTATATCAGCATTACGCAAATCGCTCCAAAAGAAAAGGTTGTTGGTAAGACGAAGCATCACAAGTCATCCTCAGGACAGTGGAACTTTGAGGAGACGTTCAAAATCAGCTGCAGCCCAGAAGCACAATTCAAGATTGAAGCCAAGGGCGAGCATACTTTTAGCAGTGATGATGTCTTGGGCGAGTTTTTCTACTTTATAGATGAAACGAATTCGCCAACGCCAAAGGAGCTCACCGTCGGCAGTGGCTTCGTGACAATCAAGAGCTCGTTTCAGCCTGCAGAAGACAAATATCCCGACAGCCCCAAATCGTTTTCGCGACATAAGTTCTTGAGCAAGCGAGAGCCGCGGAGTCGAGAAACGACACCAAACCCTTGAGCGGAGGCATCTTTGATGAGAAGAAATATGACGCCCATCGTTTATGACAAATTCGTGTTTTATTCCCATCTCTTTTACTTTTGAAGCTCAGCTGGGAGCTAGTATTCGGTATTTGCCTCGAGTTTTCGTTGGCGTGATGATATAGCCGCGTCGTTGCTCTCTTATCCCACTTGTAATTGTTTATCTATTTGGGTCTTTTCTCTTCTTACTATTATGGCTATGTATTGTTAAAGTCCGCTTGGAGTCTGGAGGGTCTCGAGGGCGATGGAAATTCACAAGGCTCTTGTATATATATAGTTGTAGGCGGCGCCATACAAGCAATATCTAGCCAAATGGGACGGGCAGTTTGCTAAATTTAAGACAGGTTTCAATAATCATGCAGTGATTTTCTATCTCCCATTTCTCTATTTTCAACTACAAAATGTGTACTCGTTGACTGAAGACGACAAGTGTAAATGATGTTGTAAGTCATCAGGCATCAAGGCATCAAAATCTGGCTGGAAGCCAACTTAGTCAGCACACTTGCCTGCAGCAAATCAGGAGCTCGCACTGCTTTAGAGAGGGCAGTCAGTGACGCGCGAGACGGAAGCTGCCTGACCTGGGACTGGTGCTCTAGTACAGCACAAGCAACGAGGGGCGTCTTTTGGCCTTTCTGAACCTCAACCAAAACCACAAAAACCACACAATTACAGTCCACGGGCCGCCATTTCGATAAACCACAGGCTGCACTGAATCTGAGTGCGCCTCGACCTGCGAAATTGTCTCTCCGCAGCAGAACTGGGGGAGCACTGACTTGAAATTTGGCGGGGAATCTTTCAACACCAGCATCGACAGACATACCCAGCAGCAATGGATTCTCTGGTGGCCAAGTACAGCCGGTCGGCATATGCGCAGAACGAGCCTCTTGAGGATGACGAGTATGGCCAGGAGCTGATGAACCCGACGGCTCACCTGTCGGGCAACTTTGCCATGCCTCCTGTTGCGCAGGTACGTCAGCTCCCATCAGCTGCGATGTCGCTATATGCGTATCCCATGTGACTGCCTACTATTCAATTTGAAGCAGAGGCAGGATAAGATCAAGATGAAATTGCACTTTATGTATGATAGTGAATCAAACAATTGGCTGACTTGAACTTTTGCTTCTAGCCCTCTGCTTGGCTCCGCGCCGCCACAGACGACCGCTCCAACCCCGACTGCCCCATCAAGATTGCCCACGGAACGACGACACTTGCCTTTCGCTTCCAGGGCGGCATCATCGTGGCCACGGATTCTCGAGCCACGGCCGGCAACTGGATTGCCTCACAGACGGTCAAGAAGGTGATTGAGATCAACAGCGTGCTGCTGGGCACCATGGCCGGCGGTGCCGCAGATTGCCAGTACTGGCTCGCCTGGCTGGGCATGCAGTGCCGCCTGCACGAGCTCCGCCACAAGCGCCGCATCAGCGTCGCCGCCGCCAGCAAGATCCTGGCCAACCTCATCTACAGCTACAAGGGCATGGGCCTCAGCATGGGCACCATGTGCGCCGGCGTGACCAAGGAAGAAGGCCCCGCGCTGTACTACGTCGACAGCGACGGCACGCGGCTGTCGGGCAACATGTTTTGCGTGGGCTCCGGCCAGACATTTGCCTATGGTGTGCTGGATTCCGAGTACAAGTACGATCTGACGGACGAGGAGGCGCTGGAGCTGGGCAAGCGGAGTATCCTGGCGGCGACGCACCGTGATGCCTACTCTGGTGGCTACATCAACTTGTACCATGTCAAGGAGGCGGGCTGGGTCAAGCACGGCTTCATGGACACGAATCCGATTTTCTGGGAGACGAAGCTGGAGAAGGGCGAGTTTTCAAACGTGACGAGCGCGTTGGATTAGAGGAGTGGTGGAGTGGCATGAATTTGTGTTGGTTTTGAAGCAATAAAGAAGAAATAAAGAAATTGAATGAGAGCAATGCTTTGATCTTTGACATGCAATGCAATATGAGAGGAGGGGAGAGGGGGGGGGGAGAACAGATGAAGTAGGTGAGCACGAAGGAATAGTTTCTCTCTTCCACATTGTTGTGACGAGTCTCATTGTTTGTGATACCAAAATTGACTGCTAATTCTCTATCGTACAAAACAAAAGCAGTTTCGCATATCAGTCCACTGCTTCAACATCAGGGGTATCATCGTTCTATCATGAACCTTTCTCTCTCTCATCGTACATACAAATACACATATATAAACACATATCTCTCTTTCAATCCACCTTTTCCTCTCCTTCCTTTATCCACCCTCCAACGCCCAGCATCCCGCCTCCCACCGCCGGATCCATGGGCCACCGTGCAATCGGCCGCACCGACAGTTCAGATCTATATCCAGCCTCGAACATCTCCATCCCCGCCCAGGCAATCATGGCGGCGTTGTCGGTGCACAACTCCAGCGGCGGCGCGATGATTTGCATGTGCGGGAACCCGCGCGCGGCGAGCGTTGTGCGCAGGACGTGCATCAAAAAGCGGTTGCTGGCGACGCCGCCGGCTACGACGAGCGTGTTTATGGCTGAAGATGTAGATGTAGACGTAGATTGCTGGAGGGACGGGTGGTCTTGGAGGGCGAGGATGAGGCGGCTGACGAGGTGCTGGAAGGAGGCGCGCAGGGTGTGGCGGGCGAGGGCGCGGCGTTGGTCGAGAGAGATTTTGTCCACGTCCACGTCAGGGGAAGATGAAGATGATGAGTCGTTGTTGTTGTTGTTGGCGTCATAATTGGCTTCAATAGAAGCAACAATGCCGTGAACCTGCGTATAAATACTCGAAAACGAATACGCAAGCTTCCTCGAATTGCGAAACGGCAGCGCAATCGTCCACCCATGCCCCGAGGCCACATCCTCAATCTCCTCCCGCCTCGACAGCGCCGGCTTGAAAAACGCTTCATAATCAGCAATCCTGTCTTTTTCCTCTACGGCAGGAAAAGCAAAGGCCTCCATGACGCGACCGTAACTGACGTCCGGGCTGGACCGCAGGATGGATGGCGGGAGGATGACGCGGGCGGTCTGGTCGAGGAGGTTGCCGATGGCGACGTCGGCGGTGGTGGCGAGGATTTGGTGCATGGTGAGGCTTGAGGAGAGGATGAGTTGGGTGTGGCCGCCGGAGACGAGGAGGGAGAGGAAGGGGAAGGCTGGGCTTGGAGTTGTGATGCTTTCAGAGTCGTTTTTGTCATTGGTGTTTTCTAGGGCGTGGACGAGGCGAGGCGTCAGGGCGTGGGCTTGCATGTGATGGACGCCGACGAGGGGGACTTGCCATGCTAGAGCGAGGCCTTTTGCGACGTTTAATCCCACGGAGAGATTCGGCATGATTCCAGGGCCGCGAGTGGCGCAGACAAAGTCGGGAATCTTCTTCTTCTTCTTCTTGCTCCTCGTCTCCATCTCCTCAGCAGCAGCAGCAGCATCATCAGGCAAACTCCCCAACGCCCTCTCCACCAACAGCGCCAAAGTCGAGTTATGCCCCTCCACCGTAATCATCGGGTTGATCCCCTTAAAGGCCCGGTTGTCCGACGAGATGCGCTCGTTGAACAGGAGCGAAGTCTTGCCATTTGCCGACTTCGATAGTACTGCTACGGCTGTGTCGTCGCATGACGTCTCGATTGCGAGAGTAGTCAAGGAGCGATTCTTTGTCCTGGATGATGATGTGCTGTTGCTAACGGTGGTTGTGAGAGTCCGGATGGAGATGCGGCGGTGGTGGATGAGATGAGAGCGGATGATGAGAGGGCATCGTGGTGAGAGCATTGGGAGCTGCCCTGTTTTATATATGCGTGTGTGAGATATATATGGGGCTATATATATGTTCTTCTGTAGTAGAGTTATAAAAGCAGTGTGGATTGAAGAAAGTAGAAAGAGCTCGTCAATTCATTATCCGTTGTGTAAAGTCATTGAGTTGATGTTGAGACTCGAATTGCCAACTTTTTCGCTACCACGACGTCGGAGTGGCGGGGCTCCACTCTGCCGCTGGCCTTCAACTCCATGCCAATACAATGAATTTACAATGATGCACTGAAGTCATAAATTCACACAAGGTTTCATATTTTTTTCCCTATTGATACATCTTCCTTTTTTTGTAAATAAATCAAAGGCCTTTCGTAGGCTACAGCGCTATTCCATGTGCATATCAGCACAGTATGCAGTGTCCTAATACCCAATCCAATCCAATCCATTTTGATACATGCCGTACCCAATAGCATATAGCCAGAGAAAAAAAGAAACAAAATGAAAGAGACATTACTTCGTACTGTCATATACTCCAATCCCCTCTCATGGCATCATCTGTCTACTGCTCCCTCTTATCTTTCACGACCAATTCGCCCATTGGCACTTGCACCCTCCAGTGCCTCCATCGAAGCCTCCAAACGTGGCATTGCCGCTACCACGATGGTTGATCCAAGTTCCTCCAGCAGCCATATTGTTGGCAAGTAATTCAGGAGCGCTTGTATTCAGCTTCTGGCGATCATCCATGGGCCACTCCCACACCACCTTGTGGTCAGGGTCACCGCCGTGAGTGTCCAGCGTCACTGTCACAGGATATGGCATTGTTCCCGGCTGGATCAGCTGAGGTGAGTTACCAATACCTTGACCATCCGAAGACAGCAGTGAGCCTGTGCTATTCAGTTTTCGTGTCCAAATCTGCACCAACATACGGGTCTCAGCCCAGGTAACTAGATGGTTGGCCTCTGTTTCGCTGCAGCCACCGTTTTCATCTGCCGGTACGTTTCCATCACTCGACTTATTGAGAACAGCGACAGACTTGAGAAAGATTGTGCGTTGAAAGTACGTATAGAACCCATAATGCTCGGTTGGTAGGCCCCGATCGAATAGCCGAACCGGTTGTTGAGCTGGGGTAGGAAGCATTACAGCAGGCGCTGGAGTGCCGTCTGCTTTGAAGTCTGGTGGGAAGATAATATCCGAAATGTTTACAATATCCGAGGCAGTGGTGACCCTTCGGCTCAAAGACGGCGACTTAACCGTATCATTCAGAGACTCGAGGATACTAATGAAGAAAGGAGTTGGTTCTCCAGCCTTTTGGCTCGATTGAATGTTATCCGTGGTTTCGCCCAGGAAAAACATCTCGTCGAATGTCGGCGGGCTCGGATCAGGAATGAATCCATCTATTGAAGAGTTGCCGTTGCTCTCGCCTCTCTTGGAAATAGGAGTGGGTGGAGCGCCGTTGGGAATATTCCATGCCTTGTCTGTGCTGTTATCCCATTGGATCTGGAAAATAATAGTTGGCTGGTTAGGCTTAAATGGCGACACAGACGCCTGGGAATCCTTGGGCAAGGAGCAGCTCCACAAGGTAGATGGCTCCGTGCAGTCGCTCTTGGCAATGGTGTTGTTTGGACCAACAAAGGTCAACACACCGGTGGGCATGGCAGGATAATCCGTGAGATTGACCCATATAGATGAGGGTAGCGGAGAAGGTGCTGAAGGGGTCGACGGAGATGAGGAGGGAGACTGGGCCTGTCCTGGAGCTGGTTTCGAGCTTTGGCCGCCTGATCCATGATGCTTGGAAAGGACGACGCCCAGAACAATCGCCAAGATTGTGAGGAGAAGCAGGAGGAATCCTATGATACAGCACCAGATTCTTCTCTTCTTGCGGCCCTCCGGTCCAGAGCGGCCAAAGCAGCCTTTTTTTGGGACACAACCTCGGCCCCTCCAGAGACCACCAGCTCGTTTTACAATTTTTTCTTCTTTCTCATGCCGCACTCTCTTCCGCTCAATCTTGCCATCTTTGCCCAATCTTCGCTCACCATGTGACGCTTCAGCAGAGTGTGCTGGTAATGGCTCAGTGAATCCTTGCTCTAGGGAAGGAGAATCGACCCTTATCCAGGTCTTCTTTCCAGAAGGAATCTCGTTTATTGTTAGATAGGCTCTCTCCGGGGCCGCTGGTAACACCTCAGGCGCTCTTCGTTCTTCTAGTACTATATCAACCGGCTGGATAGCGCGAGTCTCGCCCCGGCGATGATCAACTGGAGAGCGCTGCCGATTCAAAACCGACGTCACAAAGTTGCTCGCCGCCCGCACGTGTCCTGAGCCCACTCGAGCCTTCCGCTCTGAATCAGGTGATTTTGATGAGGTTGGTGATACAGAAAAACGGCTGTGATGCTCCGAAGTGGGATGTGTAGTAGAAGTTTGTGTCTCTCGCTCATGTGCTAGCAGCTGAACTCCCACAGATCGAGACACGTTGGCAGAAGTATCCTCGGCGTGACGTGTAGATAGAGAGCCACCACCAGACCGATTTGTGGTCGACGCTTCGTGCGTAATACTGCTCGCCTCCTTTCTAGATCTCTCGGCTTCTTCAAGACGATGCAAGACCTGTGAGGACAGTATGCCAGCAGAGACCGCAGTAGCTCCATCTGCCTCATGGCCAGCTACCCGCGAAGTAACAGGCGCTGCCATCTCTGCTGCTACCGACATGGTTGGTGCAGCTGTTGTCGATGCTGCGATAGGGGCTGCAGCGTGGGCAATGTGGGCAGTGTAAGCGGCAGGTATGGTTGTCATCGCCGATGCAACTGGTGCCGGTGCCGATGTGACGCCACGAGACGCTTCTGTCTGGGGATCCTGAGTATGCAGATGATGGCCAGGCGGGAAGACAGCCTGGTACTTAATAGCAGCTTCAGCCTGCTTCTTAGATGAAGGCGCAGGGGGAGTATCTGCCCTCAAATGGGTTATCCCCAGGCCTTGCATCATCTCACGCGTACCCGCTTCATGGTGTCCAAAAGCACCTCGCGCAGCTTCAGCAGCCACATTAACCTTGAGGACATCTCCTCGAGGCGACGGAGTCCGCCGTGGCGTAGGGATCTTTATAGTCGGTGTAGAATTCAAGCCAACACGATCTACCACAAACTTCTGCGGCTGCTGGCCAGTATTGATCTCAATGTGGACGACGATCGGTCGCTCAGAGCCTTCCCGCATCCCAACCTCTCTCGGTGGTGGAGTCTGTCGAGGTGTTGGTGCTTTGATGATTGGGGCCTGAACTTCTTGTCGCTGAGGTCTGGGCGGAGGCGTAAGGTTACGTTTCTGTTCGTGCTTTGGTTGAGAGTCGGTGGGCATCATTTGACGATCTCTGATCTCAGTAGATACAAACTCGTAGGTGTGTGTTTCTTTAGATTTCGATGTCTCTGAAGAGATCATTTCATGAAATTCTGAGGAAGAGTTCTGGTAATTGTCAGACCGAGTTGTGAGTGTTGAGCTCTCATTCACAGCACGGGACTTGTCAGACTGTGATTTTTTCTCCTCCGTTTCAAGGGTAATCATGATGTTGTCATCCTCTACCTTGGAAACGCCTTGAAATGTATTTGAATTCTTCTCTTCAACGTGCCTCGACAAGTCAGAGTCAGGAGAAAACGTAGACAGGCCTCGTTGCCTTTCCAGCATGGATAATCCTAGGATGGCACGGCCGCCTTCAATATCGACGTTTGTAGAATTTTGGCCTTCATCTTTTTCTACAGACGGAGAGATCTGTTTCGTGTCGGGCTTTGAAATCATAGTTCTCCAAGGGCTTTTTGGAGTCAGCGCAGAGCTCTGTTCTCCTTTGTTGTCTGTACCTTTGGCGGGTTGATGCCCCCTCTGGTCCAAAGGTGATTCCATCTGCGTTCTTCGGCTCGCAAAAGACATTCTCATGTCCAAAAACGGGGTAACTAAATGGTGATCCCACCAGCCACGCACACTATCAGGAGTGCGCGCAGATAGTTTACTTGCGGGCGATTTCAAGGGCGTGACTCCATCCTCTTCGAAAAGCGTGCAAGGTGTCCCTGAATCATCTTCCTCGTCCTTGTTCTTACGCTGTTCTGTGCCAATAAGTCGCTGTGGTATTGCCGATGTTGTCTGTTTGTAACCGGCCGGAAGAGCGGGAACAGGGGGGACTTCATCATCTCTCAACCCAGGCGCAATAATTGCCGCCATAGATGCCTGCGAGTACACGCTTGACGGATATCTGATTGTGCTAAACGAGCTAGCGGTATCAGGGGTATCTGGAGACCACATTGATTTGAGTTGAGTAGGAATTGAGGGGGGATTTGCGCGGTCATTAGCTGTCTGGAAATTGAAAGGATATGGATTTCTCATGTCCCCGCTCGGAGTGTCAATGTTGTTGACCGTCGCCGTAAGCGGATCGATTCCTCGGCTTTCAACCTCATCAGAAGGCAGAGTAATGCCGATGACTATCGGTCTAGCTTCTGGGGAGAGCTGTTCGGGAGACTGGGCCTCGTTGGCTCGAAGAGGAGAAGGGGATGCGGCCTCACGATCCCCGTTGTTCCCTCTCCTCAGCCAGTTCCAGTTCCCAACAGACTGCGGGTTGGGAGACCCCTCCAAGGCTCTTAGAGCAGCTGCATCGGCAAATTTTGCGTTTCGCCTTGCCGGTGACTTTGCTTGATTAGCCAAGTGGTTTTGTCGCCTCAGCTTTGTCATGTCCGTGATCAGCGTGATTCCAAGCTTTGCGTTCCGCTGCTTCGGAGGCCTCTTTGACACCGGCCGGCTAATTCTAGCTGTCGAGCGTCTCATGGATACCTTGACACTTGGATGTTTGGCAACCTTGGTGAGGAACAAGGCCGGCGTAGGTGGTGGGGCTTGGAGGCCAGTCTGGACATCGTCTTCGATGGGGGAAACCTCTTCATTGGAGCTTACAGAGAGGCTGTCGCTTTCTAGAGGAGATGGGCTGCGGGTAGTCATGGCCGAACTGCTAGCGTTCATGTTTAAAAATGGGCTGTTTGTGAAGAGTTTCTGGTGGTCCGAATTTTCGCCAGCGGGGGTCTCGCCAATGTCTATTAATGTAACGACGTCGTCATCTTCCCAGTCTTCCCAGTCTGTCCCTGTGTGGCGTCTTGATGAAAGATAGGAGGCATGTCGAGGCACTGCGGATTTGCGAGTTTGTGATGAGAGCCTGCTGTTATGCAGAGGCTCAGCGTATTTGCCGTGATTGAAAGACATGTTTAGGTCGTATAAAGCGAAAGCATATGGATCGAACTCGTGATCGTGATGGTTTGGGTATGGTAATTATTCGTCAGGTGATGGACTATCGTAGCACATGAAATCAAATCGCAATCATCACAAAGGCCACGCGATGATGAAAGTGTCCAAGATGCGGGTAACAAAGAGAGTGAATGATGAACAAGGATTGAATATACAAAGAGTGTAAGATGGAGGGCGTGATGCGAAAGAGAAAAGGAAACAACGCCTATTCCAACAATGAATCACAAACACATCCGCTCTCAATGAAGGTAGAATAGAAACAATAGAAAGTGAAGGTTACTCTATTGATAAAGAAAAACAATCGGTCGACAATAGGCGAGGATATGCGGGCTGCCTACTCTCAGCCAGCAAAGGCCTCTCCACTCTGGACTCTCGGCCCGGTCTCGAGCATGGCCTCGAGCATGGCCTATCCATCATCTGCTTCATCGTCCTCGCTGTTTCTCGTTTCCCTTGCGGCAAAGCACTCCATGGTGGCGCGTTTTCGAGCTCTTTTGTCTGGATGGCGATGGTTGGCGGATCGGTTGTATGAAATAGGCGCCGTGTGAGCGTGAATGCGCATCATAATTGGCTGAGGCAGCCTGCAGGCTTGGGCGCTACGGCGCAGCTCAACTTGATTGGCCGCACTTGTCGCTTCCGGGCGGCTAAAAGTTGGCCGCTGCGCAACACCCGCGGTGGGGCTGTCAGGGGTGCAGATGCTGTAATTATAGAGGCCTGCCAATCGCAGCACCTTCTTGCTCTGAGCCTACCCTGGAAAAAGCACCACTGATGGAATGATTGATGCAACGACAAAGCTGCATGTTTCTAGAAAGTAGGGTTGCTAGGCATACATGCATTCTAATACAGCAAGCGCTCGAAACATTCGACTCACTGAATGTTATGCTGCAAGTGAATTGCCAGGAGAGTAGCAGCACGAGCTGCATATCCATGGGCTATAGGTTTAAGTGTGAATATTCCAAGCCGCATTTAATCGATATACCTCGCTGCTCGACGTGAAGAAGTCAAACCTTACACAATCTTTATATCTTTTCTGTTTGACAGAGAAGAGTTTACTATTGCTGCAGTGTCAAGGAGACTAGATGCTACTGTGGCCAAAGTTGGGCGCACATGAAGCACTGCACGTCCAATGCCGCGAGATAGCATGGCCTAAAGCAGCCGGGAGAAAATCGCAGATTTGGCAAGTTAAGACCAAGGAGACACGCATTTGATACACGTCTCAGCCACATTGGAAACCCCCGCATACGCCACTATGTGCCATGTCTGGAACCTGAAGCCTCTGTCCCATATGACGTTTATCAATCACGGGGTATCAGAGGTGTAGCCCAATGGCCTTGCAGCCAGGCATCAAAGCATCTAACCATTAGATGAATATCTCGTGATAATTAAAAAATTGTTGTCATGACAAGTCTGGGCAACATTGGAATTCAGCACCTCCAAGGAACCAATAAGTGACGTGATCATGAGACTCTAGAGATGACTTTCGGCCAAGTTTACAGATGGCCTCATCTGGGGAAGAAGTTGGCAAAGGCGGGGGATGACTGATGTTTTTGAGATGCCATGACGACAGTGAACCTTGGTTGTGATGCCTGAGTTAAAATGCGCCTCTGGAAGGGATTGAAGTTTATAGAATGCCTATTTCGCAAGCACGCCATCTACTACGACTAGTACGATCCATTTACTAATCCGGCAGCATCAAGCGGCAACGAAGAGCCGTAGATGGCGCAGGCAACTCTACTACGTACCACAAGTCGGATATTATGATGACCTGTAAGCTGACAGTCTGTCATGTACAGTATTAGGGCCATTGCTTTGGCGTTGCAGGTTATGTACAGAAAGAGCACTTTAGCACCTAGCAAACAACGCCGCCATTCGAAGAGAAGCACTTTGTGTCTCAATCACCAAGATCGAAATACGGCTACAGCCAAGCTACGCAAGCAAACAAACGCAAGATGGCTCGAATTGACTTTGCAGCTACCCAAAATACGGGCCACGATACTTTCCCCAAAGCCTTGGCCTCTGCATGAGCTCAACGGCTATTTTCCCACGCAGCGGCATGCCTTCAAATGCGTGTCAATCGCTTGACATCAAATTCAACGCCATGCCCCTAAACCCCAAGCGGAGAATCGTGGCGGCTGCTCCGAGTTTGCAGCGCCGGCAAGGCTCACCACAACCTCTGCCATCTAACCTGTTCGGCGATGGACGCTCCTCCGCAACGCGTTGGGCCCTGGGCTAAGCGTGGCGCTACAGGGGGGCTGTTCAAAGTAGCGGTCCTGGGAACGCTGGTGAAGACGAAGAAACCGATGCGCATTGGAGGAGCCAAATTCTCTAGAGGCCAGCGCCAGCACGGGGCACACTCAGCCGCATACGAAGAGCTCCAGACGCTATTGGGCCTGCGCTTGTGGCAAGGTGCAAAAGTCGTTACGAAGTCCAGCGCCGTATTGGTTGATAGATTAACATTGGACGACGGAGAAAATCTCGCAGCGAAGAAACGAACCGCTGAGGGACTCCATCGCCGGACTCGTTGATGGTTGGCCCCGCGGCGGCAACCCCCCTGAAGCTGATGAGATGATGGATGGATATGCTGGCATCAACCAGTCCACGGTTCATCAATCTTAAAATTTGCGCCCCGGTAGCGGCTAAGAATCCTCCTTATCGCGCAATGCCAGGGCACTTGGTACCTGTACCTGTACCTGGACCGACATGCTCCATCCACGGCTCATATGGCAATACGGGCAGCGGGTTCTGTGTGTTCCTGTCACACACGCGATTGAGTGGGCTCCAGATAAGTGCAGCCGTCTCTTATTTTATCTGATTTGTGATTGCTTCTTCTTCGCTCGTCTCGGTGCCCTTTGCCTTATCGGCTGTCCTTCCCGTAACCGTCGTACCTGAGACGGGTCTTGTGCCCCATGACGCGAGACGAAACTGATATACACCCGTCACAGAAGGGAATCCTTCTGCTCCCAATGTGGCCAAAGAATCAAAGCGAAAAATACTGGCTACCTGGCTGCCGCAACTCGCAAGGTGCATAAACTTGCCCTGTTTGGTTAATCAGCGTGTTAATTATAGTGCTAAGCATCGCGGCCTATGCCACCGTTCCATCGCCAACGCAGATACGAGAAATTCTGACCAAATCGTTGCGGCCCCCTTTTTACCAGCAAAAGAGGATCTCGATTCGCCAGTTTCCGGCACCGTGTCATCTGCATCTAAGCCAGAACAAGGGCCGAGGACAAAAAACACCGTAACGTTAACGTTTTGCTCATCCATGTAGGCGAGGAGAAAAAGAGAGATCGAAGCAACCGTGCTCCGTAGGTATCTCCGATAGTCATCCAAAGACCCAATATCAATCTCAAATATTGCTTGTTCTCGTATCTGGACTTCGTATCAGAGGCCATTTGATCCATCTCCCCTATTCGTCCGCACTGGCAGGTGTTATAGAGTTTTGGAATACATCTAGAGTACCATGTGGCAGCCTTACTGGCGCCCGCTGCCGCTGCACGAATGAGCGGTACCTGTCAAGTCACTGGTACGCACTTGGCCGTATCGAGCATCGTCAGCAACCATGCCGCCGGCGCAGTGTGCAGCGCCATCTTTAGCACTTGGCCGTACCCAGTACAGCGCGCGCCAAGTACCGCCAGTCTGCTGCGACCGCTGTAGCCCGCCACGGGCTGTGCCCCCATCGTTTTCAGCCAAGCCCGCGAGCGCCGCAAGTCAACCGCAGTTGCGAGGCCTGGGGCACGGCGAGGTACCTGGCGCGCAGCTTTGCCTGGGTACCGGCTACATGTACTCAACCTGGCCCTACGGGGACCCTTAGCATGTATCTGGACCAGCCCGCCATCTGCCAATAAACCGCCTCTTTTTTTTCTTGACCCCCATCCCATCCCATATTATCCCATCCCATATCTCAAACCGACATCTGTCCAGAACGCGAATTTGCTCAGCTAGCGCCCGTGTTGCAGTCTGTGGCCGTTGGTCTGTTGCATCTGCCCATTGTGGTTGTGGGTTCGGCTTGGTTCCGTGCCTCTGCTTTTTGGGGGCTCTTCTCACGATCTTTGCTTGTGCGGTCAGAAACGGCGCATTAGCCCCCCCCCTTCTGGCTGTGTCCTATCTCTTATTGTTTGGCTCTGCATTGAGCTGCTTGCATTTTTTTTTTCTTTGCTCTTCTTAGCGTGGCTCCGTATCTGGAAGTCCACACGACGCCGCCAGCGCATCCGCTTCTGCTGCCACGCCGATTCCTATTTCGACACCTGTCGACTCTTGACATTCTTCCCGCAGTTCGGATCACAGCTATTCACCCTGGCTTCCCAAAGGCACCCGGCCGGCTCCTCGAGCTCCTTCAACGACCGGCCTGTGCCGTCACATCACCGACGGCGCTCTTCGGCGGGACACCACACCCTAAGCGAGGTGCGCTCGGGCAATCTGCTGTCCATCCATCCTCGTGCTGCCAATCAGTCCCAGCTGTCCCCCATCGTTGGTACGTTTCGTTTCGTCTCTTCTCCCGCCTCTCCCTTGCAGCCTCTCCCGCGGCCGCTTGGGTGCCGTCTGCCCTGCATCGTCTTGTGTTGCGCAAACCTCGAGTTACTCGCTGGCTAACCTCTGTGTCTCCTGGCCCGCGTCCATAGGCACCCCGGCCGATCCAATGTCTCTCTCCCGAAGCCCATCACCTGTGCCGGGTGGTGGGTGGTCGAGTCCTGGCCTGAATATGAACAGCGGCAGGACGAGTCCTGCCAATGCTGGTGGCAGCTCCGTGTCGTGGGAATCTGCCAAGATGAGGAAGCACGGTGCCAACGGCTACCCGTCCTTCTCGACGCAGAACCAAGGCTTCTTCACTCGCCACATGCGTCGCATATCCAGCAGCCTGCCACGATTCAACTCTGGCCTTGGCAATACCTATGCTGAGCGAGAGAAGTACGAACGCGAAGGATACAATGCAGCCTCTGGTGGGAGGATACGGTCGTTCTTTGCCCGCGTCAACAGAAGATTGAAGTGGAGGATCCTCCTTCCGCTGATAATATTCTGCACCATTGTCATCTACTACGGCACTCGTAAGTGGAACGATGACATCCAGCCTAATTTGGCATTTTTGAGTTCAGCTTTGCTAACTGGTGGACAGACGAGGCCCCCGGGTTTGTTCATTGGTGGCGACGATCTAGCATCGGAGGAAATGGCGAAAAGTTTGTCATCATTCTGGCCGCCAATGTTGGTGGAGGCGTCATGGAGTGGAAGGGTGCTCGAGAATGGGCCATTGAGCGAGACAGCGTACGCAACAAGCGGAAATATGCCACTAGGTGGGGCTACGATTTGGAAATTGTCGACATGAAGACCAAGAAGCGATATGCGCACGAATGGCGAGAGAGCTGGGAAAAGGTGGACTTTTTGCGGAATACGATGCGGAAATACCCCAAGGCTGAATGGTGAGACGACAGTCCTTTGATGACTTTTGACTGAGACTAAACAACGACGATAGGTTCTGGTGGCTCGACCTCAACACTTACGTTATGGAACCCGGATACTCGCTGCAACACCATTTGTTCAACCACCTCGATCGCCATGTATACCGTGACATCAACGACTTCAACCCTCTCAACATCACCCATCCTCCCACCGACCTATATCTGGACGCAGATGCGCGAAGCCCTGTCGGCGATGGAAAAATCAACTCTGTGAACTTCCTGCTCTCTCAGGACTGCTCAGGATTCAACCTTGGCTCTTTCTTCGTCAGACGCAGCGACTGGACCGAACAACTTTTGGATATCTGGTGGGACCCGGTGTTGTATGAGCAGAAGCACATGGAGTGGGAACACAAGGAACAAGACGCCCTTGAGCAGCTGTACCGAACGCAGCCTTGGATTCGACAGCATACTGGCTTCTTGCCGCAGCGCATGATCAACAGTTTCCCCCCTGCTGCGTGTGCGGACGACTCTGGCTTGAACAACACCCGGATACACTACAACGAAAATGATCGCGACTTCGTAGTCAATATGGCTGGCTGCGAATGGGGACGCGATTGCTGGGGTGAAATGTATCACTACCGAGAGTTCAGCTACTGGCTCAACCGAAACCCTTGGGAACTCTTCAAAGAGGAGATTGTGGCCCTCATTTGGTTTAAGCTCACTGGCCAGCGAGTCAAGTTATAATCTTTGCTTCATATTGCGTCAGCAGCGCGGAGCGAGCAATTTGATTTGGCTTCTCCATATTCATATTGTGCCGGCACAACCTCCCATTTCACAAACCAAGAATTAGACAACGTACTCGTTGCCGGCTTCATTTTACTTAGCACAGAGCATTCTGAGAAATCATTTGCTTCTTCTTCTTCTTTGATTTTGCTTGTTGCATAGATGCTGATCTTACATATTTCTTTCTTGACTGTATCAACGCATCAACATGTTGACCTTTTCCTTCACGGTTGGACGATTATAATTTACGATGGTTGGGGAGGGGCGCTACTTTCTGATGAGATGACGAACTACAACTACATCTACGCCAAACGGCTCAGACTTGCAACAGACCGATGCGGCTTGCAATTTTCCAAATAATGGGCCACAAGTCCAGGCCACAAGTCCAGCGGCTGATGGCAGCTTAGCCGGGAAAGCGAGATGTCAATATGGAGAGGAAAAGAGGCAGAAATACTCGCTTCTCAAAGTCGGACAAACATGGGGTACGGAGGAATAAACAAACGGAGGGGGATTATCCAAAAGGAAAGAAGAGATTTGGGAAAGGCAAAGGCTCACGATGCATAGGGCGCCCATTGCGTGGCTGTCGCCTGGCGTTGGGCACTTGTAACATTTTTGGTGACATTTTTTCTTTAAAATTTTTTTTATTAAAAAAGAAAATCTTGGGGCGGCATTCAAATCTGGTCGCCCGTATTTTATGACTGGGTATATACTCCAAAGAGATAATTCATAGAAACGCTTTTTGTATTTTTTGGACATTTTTTCCCTTCTTCTTTAACTTTTGGTCAGCCATATAGTGGTGATACCTGCACTATTAGAATAGCAAATATAGCTTATGCAAAAAAGCGAAATGATCATCGAGCCTTTAGACGTTAGATCTACAAGTGCATCTGTCTAGAAATGATAGCACGATATGAGGGCTCTGTACCGCGCATCCGTGCAGAAGTGATTGCTGATCCCCGGCGGAGCTATGTCAAGGAAGAGCCCCGTTTATGGCTTTCGAGGCGAGTCGTGGAGTAGATAAGCGATGGAGACAAGGGTGGTGATGAATAGAGAATAGCTGCGAGGAAATTGATCTGCAGTGAAAACGGCGGCATTAGGCAGGACGTGACGGGATTCTAGAGAGGAGTCTGTAGAAAGATGGGGGAACTGGGGAACATGGAGAGGCTTGAGGCTCTGAACAGCATTTGAGGGAGGCTGGATCTCGTACCATGGTTGATTAGGGAACGAGTGTAGATATATGTGACCTGGGCCTGTCCAAAGGCAAGCCCATTATAGGCGTATCGTTAATGAGACTGAGGCTTCGACGATGTTGAGCGGCTCTCCAGTTACTACTTATACTTGGGTCCATCTTCTTCCTATAGACGGCTCCATCCGCCTCTTAATTATCCTCGGCCGGACAAAGCAAACGGTCGATAGTACACATTAGGACATTTGCTTGAAACAGAAAACCAGCATTGCAAACCGTTATAGGCCCGAATCGGCAATGAATCCAAACGTGCCGATCCGGCGTTATCTCGCTGCCGTTGAACGGCATATAAATGGCAAAGTGGAGAGAGCCTTGCCACCGCCGGAAAGTTGCCCTGAAGATCGCAAAGGGGTCCCCTCGTGCTCGCCTAATGTGGCGATTATTCGACACGTTTTTTTCTTTGTTTTGGAAGGTGTGGCACCGTGTTTCAAGTTGTTAGTCTTGCTTACGAAAGTTTTGGGGTCTCGCGATATTGTGTGCATTGAGTTTTGCTACTTCTGCATCTACCATCTTTTTGCCTTTTAGCGGCGGCGAGATAATTAAGGATGCTGCATTCTACCCATGCTCTTCTTTCCTGCGGCCGCAAAAAGAAGTTTGAAATAAGCGCCGTGTTGAGAAAAAAAGATTTGGACTTTTCTTTGCCGATATAGTAGGTTAAAAAAACCATCGCCTAACAGCATCGGCATGTCTGTGACACTGCTTAATGAAGTGTACCTATCAGGCAAGTTAGGATAGCCATGTAGCTGAAAAGCTTGGCAGCGCGGCTAGGCTGCTAGATTGCCCTGTGAAGGATCGTGGATAATAAGCATACTCGTTAATTCCGAGCAAATGCAAGGGGAGACTAACTGCAAGCGCAGGAACCAGACGAATGAGACCAGGGTCAAAAGCTTGGCATGATGAACTATTGAGAAGTGAGAAAAAAATATTTTTTCCAAAGTAAAATCTGGAGGTACTTCTCTTTGAGCTTCGGTATTGCCCAAAGCTTCTGGCCCGGTGGTGAAATCTCACGATAATGGAGACAAAGGCTCGATGCGCTATAATTTAGGTGCGTCCACTTTGTGATTGCAGCTGATCTGCGGTGCTTGGGTCGAATCCTTATTCCGGGCACCTCCCTATAAAGACAATGATGGGCGCATCTATCTCTTAGAAGGAAGGTACGGCTCGTCAACTCTTGCCCATGGTATGAGTTCACGTGAAAATGCAACCTCTTAATTATAGTCTTCTCAGTTTTCTATTCTCCAACGCAACTCTTCATCCCAGCAAAGACCGAGATTTGACTTTTCCATGCTCCGTTCAGCATAGTCTCTTACGCGGCTCCTCTCGCCGGCAGCAGAGCGAGAGCCAGACCGGCAACGATCGCCAGTGAAACAGAAGCGTATGTTCCATTGTTCCTCTAGACCCTCTAGACGGCCAGACGGTCCGAACTCAGACGGCGCATCGTCTCATCTTGCCCGTCCTCAGCTAGCCACTCAGGGCCTACGCATACGCTGATCAGGGGCTCAGAAGCTCCGTGGCTCGCCGAGCCGCGCGAACTTTAGGCGCGAGCAGCCCGTACGACCCCCCTGTCACCGGCGTTCATTGGCCGTCGTGTGCTGACACTGGCCGTCTCACAATTTGACCATCGAGTCAACCACATGCGAGAATCCGGTGCTCGCATGGCACTCTGTCCCTTTGATTCTGGGCATCGAGTCGGGACGAGGTACTATCGACGACTACTGTCACAGAAGTGGTACCTGTGCAAAGGCTCTCTGGGTGATCCACACCATGCATGAGACTTGGGGGGGGGGGGTGTCTAAAATGTCTCTTGCTCATTACCTTTGGACCCTGTCCATTGGGACAGGAAGAGGCAGACTAGAGACACTGAGTTTTTGTATATAGATGGCCATGTGTCCCCTCGTGATACTGGCTGTGGTTTTCTGCAGCCTCGTTACAAGCAGCGCGCTTTGGCCTCTTTCAGCCCATCCTTTCCACTCTCTCAACTATTGTTCTTTGCCGTTCAATCCTTTCGGCGGTTCAGTGTTGCAAACGGAGTGACGAATAGTCTTTCTTTAAGTGGCAGAATTAAGCGATTCGTGCTCGCCGTTATTCACAACAGATCAATAAGCTCCGCTATTGATAGCCTCAGCCCGGCCCCAAACACTCCTTTTATACATACATAAAGCACACAGAAGCTGCTGCCCCTCTTGTGCAATCTGATATCGGTTCAATTGCTATATACAATCCTTTTTACTCTGACCTTGGTGGTTATTGGATCTTTGTCAACTCTGATTCATTCCTTGACTATCACGAACATTGCTTGACGCAGCTTCTACGTTCTTTATCATTGTGGCCGGCTCACACTATCAATACATTCTTCTTGAATACTTGAACTCGAACATACTTTCGCAGGCTTTTGCAGACCAACCATCATCATGTATACTTCTACGGGTATCACCTTGTCTCTCGGCGCGCTCCTCGCCACTGGAACTGCTGCTCAACAGTACAGCTTGAGCAACACCTTTGACGTCAGCAACTTCTTTTCCAGCTTCGACTTTTTCACTGACCACGACCCAACCAATGGATTTGTTGAATATGTTGATGGCAACACAGCCAGCTCCCTCAACCTTACTTCAACCTTGACGGGATCGGTCATCATGGGCGTCGATTCGACGGAAACAAACCCGGCCAACGGCCGCAAGTCAGTCCGCGTGACATCGCAGCAATCCTTCAACCACGGCCTCTTCATCGCCGATATTGCTCACATGCCAGGCAGCATCTGCGGAGCCTGGCCCGCCTTTTGGATGGTTGGCCCCAACTGGCCAAACTCGGGCGAAATAGACATCATCGAAGGCGTTAACACTCAGACGTCTGATTCTATCACTCTGCACACTTCTGCTGGCTTCTCTGTCGGCAACGATGGGTCCAACTCGGGCACTCAATTGCTCGGCAGCGACTGTGAGGGCAACAATGGATGTAGCCAGACTACCTCGGACAACCAGAACTACGGAGATGGATTCAATGCCATCAACGGTGGCGTTTACGCTACTGAGTGGACATCCGACCACATTGCCGTCTGGTTCTTCCCCCGAACTGGTATTCCCTCTGACATCAGTTCCGAGAACCCCAATCCTAGCGGATGGGGCACTCCTCTGGCCCAGTTCAATCCTGCCGACGGTAGCAGCATTGATGACCACTTCCAGAACCAACAGCTTGTCTTTGACACTACCTTTTGCGGCGACTGGGCTGGCAATGCCAATGTCTGGAACTCCAACGCCGAATGCTCCGCCTTGGCCAGTACGTGCCAGGAGTACGTCGCTAACAACCCTTTGGCTTTTGTGGATGCTTTCTGGAGTGTCAACTCTATCAAAGTATATGATCAAGCTGCCAACGCTACTTCCAACGTTGCTGTCAGGGCTTCTGGCCCAAGGAAATCTCTCAAGTTCAGGGCTTAGATGGAAACTGATGAGATCTGATCATGGGGAATAGTCGACGCGGCTAGCTGGAGGTGCCGACGGAGAAATCTGTTGGTGAAATAATGGAAATGACGCTTTATGAGTGTATATATACGCATATCTATATATGTCTCTTCTTCTTCTTTTTACCTTTGGATATTTTACATTCTTCTTCTTCTTCTTCTTCTTCTTCTTCTTCTTCTTCTTCTTCTTCTTCTTCTTCTTCTTCTTCTTCTTCTTCTTCTTCTTCTTCTTCTTCTTATACATTACATTTGTGTATATATAGATGGCTCCATAGCGAGAGCAATTCATATACCTCTTTTTGCAACTATGTCGTGCGTAATACGTGAGATTACAAACAAATAGCATGGACTGTATTGTGATTGATGTTGAACAATAAGTGTCCTCGCCCGACGGCGGTTGAGCTGAATCTAACTTGGCGTGACTAAGGCGGGCCGAGCCTAGCTAGGCTATCTTGACTGTAAATAGTTTGATGTGATGTTAGCCTGCCCGGCGTTTTATATACGTGTAGATGGACCAACTCAAATTCGGGAGCTTAATGCCACGTCCTTGATTCCAAGTGCACAAGCCAACTTCGGAGCACTTAAAGGTATAAGTAGCATCAGTAGCATCAGTCGCCCACGCTATAGCTGGAGTGCTGGATAACAGAAGTAGAAATGCTGAAGAATATTTCCTTCTTATTAGTGATCCGCTTACTTTGATCGCAATCTAGAACGTCTTTTGGGCGCCGCTGCATTGTGTCAAGGATTGTTTAAAGTAAACTTAGGTTGCGCTGATTTGAGGGGATTCTTCGGAGTAAGTGCACGTACCGTTACAAAGCTGAGCCTGCAATCTATACGGGCCGATCGTGCTTTTTCCGACACCGAGGCGTTTTTTTATTCTCTCACAGAGACATAAAAGCCATACGCACAATCTTCACTTTTCAACTGCTCATATTATCGCAACAGGCCCTTTAGCTGGCATCGACGCGTCTCACAGTAATGTACAGCTGGCTTTTACAGACATGGTCCGGTTCTTTATCAACATGAGCAGTACCATATTTACAATGGTGGATCTTTCCATAAACTACTCGTTCTACATGGTATGAGGGGCTTTAGCACATCTATTTTCGTCTCTTGAACAACATATAAACTTGCGAACAGATGGCGACTAAGAATTTGACGTTGCAACTCAGGTTCCAGTAGCATTTACTTTATGTTGGCTGCCCGCTGCCTATGGCCATACTCTGGCTGGCCAAAATTTCGACGAGACAAACCCGCGACATACGCAGGCGGCTGTGCTGAAAGATGACAAGATGGACAAAGCTGTAGGCATTCCCTTGTCTCTCTCCCTCTTACTAACAACTTGAGCTCAACATGTATAATCAATATAAAAAACTGGCTTTAACTTCTCTTACAACAGCGCCAGCAACGCATCACCCGAGCACTAAGCGCCATGGAAAACGGCTTCGAATCGCTGGGCATGTTCGCCGGGGCCGTGGCGGCCGCCAACTGCGCAGGCGTGGACGTCTACACGCTCAATCTGCTGACGATGGAGTATATCTTGTCGCGGGTACTGTACATCTTTGTGTACATCGTGCTGTGCGCGGACGGCAGGCTGTCGGTGTTGAGGACGCTGTCGTGGCTGCTGGGGGTCGTGAGCATGCTTGCGCTGTGGGTTTTGGCTGGAATGAAGGCTGGAGCGTAGAAGATTACTGAATCTCTGTGATTGTGTAGGCAGTAAAAGCGGGAAAAGACCGTGGAGCGCGACTCGAGTACATCTTTTGAATCAAACACCTTTCTCATCCCAACCCAGATCTCAACAAAAATGCCAAGTGAGCTGGCAGTTGCCCAAGTTACCTTGGCCTGTAACTACATGAATCATCAATCACGCGTCCTTCCACACCGCTTCGGAGTGCACAATCGTCATCAAAGCACATGTACCGCAATCAAAATGTAAAAAATAAAGAAGAGGTCATGGCGTGTCTTGTGCCTTCCCCGATTCTATAAACATTCGGGGGAAGGCACCGACCAACTATCGTGTAATGTACACATGCAGCTTTCCTGCCACAAACAAGGCACCAAGTATCACTTGATCCGCCTTACAAACTTTTGTCTTCTTGGCATACCTACCTTACCTAGGGCAAGTCCGACCTGCTGCTGTTCTACAAACAACAACAACATTGTGACCTCGTACCACAAGGGAGAAGCAAATTCTTATATAAAGCAGCACTACAGCTTACGCAAACTGATCAGACAACACCGCATTCACAGCAACGCAACAAAGAGAAAGCGAGAAGCAATATTCCTACCTATATATAAAACAAAATGCCTTCTCTCAAGTCCCTCCTCTCCACCTCTCTCCTCCTCTCCGCCACCACCTGGGCCACCAGTCCCGCTCCATCGTTGCCAGCCACCGCGCCTGCTACATCCACCTCTCCCCTCACTCTCGCCAACTCAACCGTCCCTACTACCGCCGGACCGATCGCCACGTCGTCCATTCATTGCGACATCACGTACTGCGTCAACGGCACGTCCTTTTGCCATTTCTGGGCCGGCATTACCACATGGCACATGTCGGGCCCGTCGCCGGGAGAATTGAAGACGACATTGGGAAGCTGCAAGCTTGGAAAGGCGAGGAGAACGGCGGCTTGAAAAGGAAAGGGGGGGACAAATGACGAGAAGGTGGACAGATGGAAGAATATGGGAAACCTGAGATGCTCTATCGTGGGCGGCAGGATCCAAATTGCTCGTTGATGGTGGGATAGCTATAGATGGCTGAGAAAGGGAGCCTTCAATTCGACTCAAGATTAAATGTGTAGGTGAAAATGACAGAATGCTGAAATCCAGTGCATCAAATACGCACAGCTGCTGCTTGGTTCACTCAAACTAAAAAACAATTCCTATTCAACATTCTCTAGCGAATTCTACCATCACGTATATCAATCCAGCTCTATGTCTACGCGCCATACTTGCGGCTCACCGTAAAGAAAATTAACACGCTTCATCAAGAAGCTTCAACTTCTCTGCATATATATCAGTAATCAGAACCAGAAGCCACTTCTAAGCCCCCGAAACTTCGGTTTCTTACTAACCTCGGAGCCTCAGAATCCGCTGTCGGCACCGCAGAGTAGCCAGGTTTGGTGCGCGTAGAAAAGTCTCCATTAGGGGAAAATTCATCCTCATCCTGATCGTCAACACCGTGCTCTTCATCAGCCAAGGTCTCCGGTGGATGAGACACATCATCTTTGATCCTCAAAACAAAAAAGGAAGAGACAAAGGCAAAGACACCTCCAAGAGCCAAGACAATACTGATGCTGTGGTCACCCGGGGTTCCCCTCGGCTTTTGCCAGATTCTGAAAATCAAGCTTGATCCTACGTTGGCTATGATTTGTGGAGCAGAAACAGACATATTGTGGATACCCACAATGACGCCTGCTTGATCAACTTCTTCCTTTGGTGTCTCTGTAAGCTCCATGGGAGATGTATTGCCAGTGGCGGGAATCGGAGCAGGGAGTGCTGAAGGCAAATCATGATTGTCAATTCGGTGATGGCGGCGTTTGGCTCGGGCGAGGGCATCGCGCCGACTGATCTCGGCGCTGATGATAGTGAATGGTGCCCACAGAGTGATGGCCCACGTAATCCCAGCGATCCCAATCAAGACGGTAGCCGCGTTAACAGATCTCACAAATACGGTGCAAACCATGACGATGGCGAAGAGGATGAGGGACCCAAACCAAGCCCGTCTAAGGGTAAGACCAGGAATCCTCAAGCGATCCAAGAATGACTTCTTGGTGCTAGACTCGGAATCATCCAACGGATGACTATCATAAGTTGGCGCAACGAAAAAAGGAAGAAAAACGTTTGTCAGCAAGCTAACAATGGAGTTGATGAGGAGGGCAAATGAGCCAATTCGAGTCGCGTGCTCGTACAGCTTGTCAATCTCTTCAGGAGACATGTGAGGGTTCTCCTCGAGGAAGGGCTGAACGTAGATTTCGCCAATGTACGAAGATGTATAAAACAAAAGGGGAAAGAAGCCCACCCAGCCAAAGAACTGGACCTGGCATACCCGCTTGATCTGGGGTGGCAATCTTTTGATTGACTTGAATAGCGTAAAGAAGAAGACAAAGATGCTTTGCTTCTTTTTCGGAGGCCCGTCCAGCCGGGGATCACGTTCTTTGATCAGAGAGGCGCTCAAAATTACCGTAGAGCCCAAAGCAATGCTCGCAACCGCGCAGAGGATTTTGAACTGGGTGTCGCCCAAGAACCAAAAGGACGTCGTCAAGTTGACGTATCCCGCAATGTAGCCAATGATGTTTCCAATACCAGTCATTCGGCTGGCCATGGAATTTGCGGCCTCCTGCTGGTGAGCTGGTCCGCAGTCAACGATGAATGTTCGGAGAGCAGCTTGAACCGTATTGATGGCAAAATCGAGAAAATACACCCCAATCACCGCTACCACAATAACGGTGACTTTGACGCCCTGGGACTGGGGGTCCGCTCCAAAGATGCCCAGCACACCACCGACTATTTCCTTCGTCCACGCTAAGAAGAGGAGCGAGATAATGGTTGCAGCAGCACCGCCAAGCATGAACGGTTTTCGCTTACCCCATGAGAGACGGCAATTGTCACTCAACATGCCAACATAGGGCTGCACCAAAGCGCCGGTAAGAGGTCCCGCTATCCAGACCAAGGCCATAAGAGACTTGCTCAGCCCCAGGGACAATAAGTATGGCGAGCCATTGGAAAGCTCAACAGACCATGCGATTTGGAGACCTCCGAGTCCAATTGTCAAGGCAGTCAGATACCACAAGCTCTTGGTGGTTTGACTGTCATCCACATGACTATCGACTCGTCCCAAGCGAGCACCAAAGGCATCGTAGTCGGTCGGCGGTAGCAGCGGCGACTGCTCGTCGTTTGTCGTTTCGCGCTCTCGAGGCTCGTCGACGGAGCGGTTGCGAGGGCTGCCGGCGTCTGGAGTTTGCGACGCGCTCGCGCCTGAAGCGCCGTGTTGCTGGTGAGTAGGCGTCTCGCCTTGATCAGCGCCGTGGGGTGATGCCGTCATGATGGGGGTGGAGCAGGCGCGTTGACACGCCCTTACGATGTGGATGCGTTTAGCTCCGTTGATTCAGCGGAGAAGCATGCGATGCTTCGACAGCAGAGCGACGATGGCGATGGTATGAAGGCGACGGATGCGGGCGATAGCTTCACGAGAGGGCCATGGCCTGCTGCGGTGGTGCGATGCTGGAGCAGCCCTGAGGCTTTCGTGCTGGGTAACAAACGAGTTGGAGACGGCAGTCGTGCAGCCGGGGTCACAGATAGATGGCCAGGAGGAGCTCGAGCAAATCAGACGCTTTGCTCAAATCAGGCAAATCATGTGGCGGAGCTGAGGATTCAACTGACCACGCGATCGATGCCTGGCGCTACTGTTAGCAATTTCAAGATGGCTGATCGTGCAGCGGATCTGTGGTACAGATGCAGGTGTCAATGTTGAGGCACCCCAGACGGCACAGGCACGAGAGAGCCTTTGTCAGGTCAGACTGTACTGGAGGTATCACGAGCTCTGGCAGCAGCTCGGTGCGCATCGTGATGCGTCATGTGGGCCGCAGCCAATCAGCTTGTCTGGGCACTGACGCAGGCGCTGATGGGCACTCACGTCACTGGCCAGGAGCTGAATCGTCAAACAGACAGCCCCACTACGAACATGAATATGACGGGGCTATTACGGTGTATGTATGTGTCGAAAAACCGCAGAAAAGCTAGCAACAACTTGGCCCGAGCAAGGCATCTATCTCGAAGCTTTTTGAGAGACGACTGACTGACTGACTATATGCGGATGACGTGCCTCACCTACCTAGGTAAGGGGAGTATCCGGCCGGTCATCTCCAAGTTCAACTTACACTTCCAACTTGAGACATCTGCTATCTATTGTTCTAATAAAAGTAAGTCTACAAGGAGATTGAATTTTTTAGTTCTAATGACTAGGTCTCACCGCATGATTGTAAAAACGCATTGTGGGTATACTGCAGTACTGACTTACTTTCTATCCTGCCTGAAGAAGATCTGCTCGCGTTATGACTTGATGTGCAGCGTCTTGGCTATTCTCCAAGCGGACAAGCATGAAGACGCCTAGTTTCTCAAGTCATATTGGTTCTTGATTATTATAGATCCCCATCGATTGTCGCACGGATGCACGGCTAAAGCACCGCTATATTGTTGCTAGTGTTGATACGCGTCAACTCGACATGATGGCAGCTGTCATTTGCCTCTTTAGCACATTAATACCCAATAGGCGTTTTCAATTCCTCTGTCAATGAATGAATAGCCTAGGCATTTTATTGCATGTAGTTCAAAAGAACATAGCCAGTTTTACCAAAACAGCCACGAGTGAATCCCGGTTAGCACAGGGTGGGCCTGTCATTGAATACTGACTGACATCGAAGCCTATAAGCATGCCACTAGATACTAATTCACCGAGGATCTACAATCTAGGCTGAAAGTCTCATAGGGAAACATTTTTCTATTAATACAGCCTGCAGGAATGTCTAAGCTTCCTGAAAAACATGCCGTCTTAGACCAGTCTCCCTTATTGTCAGGCCGTTAATTGTGGAGTCTCGGTTTAGAAGCGTAGATCACAGGAATCTGACAGGCCAGGTTGCATCCAGCGCTCCAGCATTCCAAAGGCCTTCTAGTTCGCACATGTCAGTCCGGATGGACGGATTGTATGTAACAAAGATCCAAAAGATGGAACTCTGGGAACGGGTAACGTAGCGCTGGCACCGCTGTTTCAGTTCCACCCATTGTGTGTGATTCTTGCAATGGCTTTCTTCTCCTTTTCTTTCTCTTCTTGGCGTGTTGGTCTCAGTGCGGCTAGACAAACGCTTGCATAAAGAATTCTTGTCTTGAATGGTACGCTGGGATTAGATACACGTGCACGGCAACATGCCTCTTGGTTGTTCGCCTCCCTCAACAATTTCTCAACCTACTTACAGGTAATCAAAGGGGCAAAGCACTAGTATTTTCTGTAGGGCTGCCCTCTGCAAGATTCTCTCGTACTGTGGCTGAAGGCCTAGAAGAAAAAAGAGGCGCCCGCATCGGAGACGACGAGCAGATCAACGTTGTATCGCCGGCGCTTTGCGGGAACGGCACTACCGAAAGGGAGGGCGTGTTGGTCGGTACATGAAGATGGTGGCACAGACGGAAAACCGCCACAGCCGCTGAAGACCCGAAATCGAAGAAACTATGGCTGAAGCCTTGGACGGCTTTTTTTTCAGTGGTGGTGAGTAGATCACCGACACGTTCGGCCACACGGTTCGGGATTGGGTCAGAGCTTAGATAATCCGTGCCGCCAGGTTTACTGCTACAATTGGGTAACATCAAGAAGGAGAGATTACAAGTTGATGCGGACGCGCCGAGACCGTTGAATCTACAAGCATGTGAGCAGTAGTATAATCAAGTATGGCAGTAATATCAATTAATCGCACATGTAAGATATTGTAGGTATTACTAGCAGCTGTAACACACACATGTAAGCCAGATGCCGTCCTTAGGTAGGCACATATGCAAGGAGCACAGATCCGAGACCGATCGAAAGCGAGCCCGTCGCCATCGAGCATCGACAACTGACAGACATCCCTGTCCGTTTGCGAAACCCACACGAAGACCTATTCAAAAATATCGGCCTATTCTGCTGTTCACTCCAACATGGATGCGCTAACGTGGACGTGCGACGGCGCAGCGAGTCAGTGCGGCCCAGTGACCAAAAGATAGTCTCCTACATGAGTTTTCTCGGCGATTCGGAATGAGTTTTGAATAATGTATGCAAATACAAGTGAAGCACCGCTTACGAAGAGATTCTGCACTTCTAGTAAGTCACTGCCAGTCAATCGTGTCGCATCAAACGCCACATCGAGCGGGAATGCTGGACCAAAGTTTCAACGATAACGCCGGCACTTCAGATAGACAGCCTCGGAAGAATGAGGGAAAAAGATATAACCCGAGGGCAAATGGCACACAATGCTCCGCACTTAGTAAGACTCTCTGGCTCTGTCTGGATTGGGCTTCTTCGGCCGCTGCGCGCAATCACGAGCTCGTGAGAAAACGGAACCCGCGCGAGACAAAGTGTCCACCCCGTCCGCGTGGCTTGGCCAGTGCTCAGAGAATGCTGGGATTGTGCGTGGAATAGACGAGTCCGGATGTCCAAGCTCGGCTTACCAAATTGATGTCTCGCTCGCCGTCTCCGCTATTACTACCTTATTACTGTACCCGCGGGACAAAAAAAGAAAAAAAGCAAGACAAAAGTAAGCAGGCAGATCAGGAGGAGTGCAAAGAGAGAGAAGAAAAAAAAACCATAGCTTAATTAAACGTGCATACATAGCCTGCCGCTGTGGCCAATATTGCTTCGTGTTGTCCCCCTGCCCTGCTCTTCTCATGCATCGCGGGTGGCGTTCCAAGGTTCTGGCTCTAGCAGCCCTTCCAGATGAGATGATGGTGTACCGAGCAGCAGCCAAGGAAATTAAAAATCTGGAAAATCTCGAATGGCGCGAGGGTTAGCGGCGCCTCCGCAATCCTTCGCACTGACTGCCAGCAGCGAAGGCTTCTAGCACTTGGAGTATCGCCGTCGGGCTTGCACGCTGGGGACCCAATTCGGTCGATTCAGCGCCATGGTTGGCCTTGAGGCTGAGAAAAATTCCGCTTAGGGGGTGGGCGGCCCTTAGCGACCTCCTGATTCTCCCTCCTAAACGCCCCCCGTCGAAAGTAGCCCACTAAAATGTGTATGCAAACAAGGTCTGGTCCTCCGGGCTCCTGCACCCCATTCTGACTTCATCAGTGGAGACTGCGGGAACCCCGGGCTGGGGAATAGCAGCTTACAGAAGAAATTCCTGGAGATTCTGGAGTCGCCTGGGTCCAATTTACCGCCTGTGTGGCCAATCGCCGGCCGCAACCAGCTCTTCTGCCCCCTGGCCCTTTGGCTGCTGCCTTCTGTTTGCTCCGCTAAATGCGCCGAGCGTTGGGGACGCGGAGCAGCCAGCGAGGGGACAGAAGAGAAACAGGGCCCGTTGCCACCACTGGGCGCTCCGTAAAGAGCATTCTGCGTTGGACCTTTGTGCCACTGCCTGACTAGCAGCAGTTCGCAGATTTGCCCATGGATGCCGTGAGCGGTTTTTGCTCGCTCCCCTTTAATAGTCCGACGATCTGCTGCCGACGCGCCTGCGCTTGCTTTTTCTCGTCAAGCCTGGCGTCGAAGCTTGTTCAGCCAAACTCTACACTACAAACCATATACACAAACCTTGAATCCTTTATCACCGAAGTACCTACGAAGCGAATACCTTACCTTGCGGCTTCTATATAGGTTACATCACCCCGACGATTGACGAGCAGTCAATTCACAGCCTTTTCTCGCTTTTTATCGTGATACCCACTCCGCATCTACAACCACGGCCGCACTCCTCTATACAAATATAACAAACATAAACGTCGCTGCCTCTTGCGACTCTTTCCACCTGTCTACTACTACTTCGCTACCCAGCATCAACATCACAATGGCTATTCGGGAACGTTTCCGCCGCGCCCTGCGCCGATCCGACGACTCAGACACCATCTCTCAGACAGAGTCCACTGGCACCACCTCCTCATCAACCCGACAAAGCTCCAGCTCCGAGTCCTCGGCTCCCCAGCTCTCATTAAAAAAGACCAGCTCAACACTCTCCAAGGCCTTCTCCTTTGGCCGTGGCGACAGCTCCAAGAAGAACGAGGAGAAGATTGCCAGAAAGCAAGAACGAGCCCGCAAGCGAAATGAGGGCCGAACCTACAAACACCCCAGCGAAAAGCCCCTGACGGAGCAGAACCTCAAGCACCAGGAGATGCTCAGCCATTTCACCATGACATTTGGCGCCAGCGACCCGAGCCAGGTCATCGACCCCGGCTTTGATGGCATCAGTCCCTGCTGCACTCGTGCCTGCAGCATCGACCTTGGATCCTCAGAGGGCATATAATCACAAATCCACTGTTTGTGTATGCACTGCAGCATGTGTAATTGCGGCCGACAGCCGAAATCGACGCGATGCCATGCTACCACAACCGGGAATTTTTCCCATTCGTCAAATCACACGCACCGGCTAATATGCCATGCACGCAGCACATCAATTGACTCTTTGAGCAACCAGTCTCCAAAAAAATCACCTGACTGGCAAAGATCGATCTGCGATGTGGGCAACGCCGGCTGCTTTTAGGATCTCATTCGATCTTGTTTTTATCATCTCGCTATTATTTACTTGGCGTTTTCTTTCTACCTTGTTGTTTACATACTAAAAGACGCCACCACCAAGCGTTGGTGGGTGGCCAGCGTACCTGCATGAGGGGAAATCGGCCTAGGGTCTAGATCTATCTAGACTGACGAGGCCCTCATGCGACGGCTATTTTTTCCCTTTTCCTTTTTCGGTGCAGTCCGCATTTCAGCTACGGCGCTGCGGGTGTGTATGGGTATATTTTTATCACGACGCAAAAATGGTTTATGATCATGGGGTCGGCTTTACACTACATCTGGATTCTTTGGAGTGGTTATTGCATCATTGCGCTCAGAGCTAATTTTCCTTTGTCATTCAAAAATTTGTTTTCTTTTCCATTGGATAGATGGAATACGGCATAAATTCTACAGGGCTAACAGCCTGGGCTGTAGAGGGTACACGGCGTTGGAGGAGAATATCACGAAGAATTGGGCTTTATATACGGTGCAGCATTTGACGTACTCGTATTTGACAGTTTAGTATATATTTTAATGAATGAATCTGGTAATTGCCAATACCAACAATCTTCCACAATGCGACGTGATCCCACAGTCTACCTTTCTATTCTTCTTCGGTATGCGCATGGAGGTTTTGCATTTTCTTCGCTACATGCACTTGTACCTGGCCTGCGATACATGCCCTCTCTTTCTATCTCTGCTGCTATCTCTGCAACATCATTTCTCTCTTTACTCGCCACCACTTCTTCTAATACTGATCACTTTACAATCTTTTGATCCCCCCTTATTCAGAGCATAAAATAATTTGGATACTATCCATCATCACGAAGGCTTCATGTTGAGTTTCCCCACCAGGCAGCTGGCGAATGTAGAAGGGCAGTGAATGCTGGCAGGTGCCTCTTCGCTCCTTCCTTCTCGCACGTCAAACGCGTCACTGCCCTGTTTCCTGAAACTCTGCTATCTGATGAATTTTTCTCTTGTTCAAAAGCAGCATCCTGTATGCGAGCTTCATCTTCTCCTTCTTCAAGCCACATACTCTTTTTACTGATAGTTCTTCAGGCTCAGGAGCCGTGGGAATCATGCCGGCCAAGTCGTTCTATGTTCTCAAGCTCAAGACAGTGCCGGCCAAGTACGGCCTGTCCAAGAATATCCAGGACCTTTTAATGGCTCTTGATCACTACCATGACGGCTCCATCGACGCGGTTGAGCTTGGTAGGCTCGTTCGACTTAGTCCTAATCGGAGAGCATCCATCGCCAACACCATCCAGAAATGTGCCGGCTTACTCAAGAAGTCGCCCGAGGAGATTACGACGTGCGTCGATGTCATCGAAATGTGCACAGAGCTTCTCGAAATCGCAGGTGAGTAGCATAGGAGCTTGGTAGAAGCCTCTTCCTGTTGGTCCTGTCTTTTCGTTTGTTGACTGTAGGTTTTAGATAGGAAGCCTCCGATGGATGGATTTCCTTTTATGCGACTCCCGGTAGAGATACGAGAGCGAGTCCTCGGTATTATGATTGACAACATCTTCCGGACCAAATCCGTAATACCGGCTAGCAACAAGAATGGCAGCTGCAAATGCCCTCGGTTCGATCGAGACACTGTCTTTCAGACGGCTCAGATGAAGGATCTTGCATGCATCTTTGGCTCCAATCTCATCACGCTCGAGTTCTTTCGAGTCTTTTTCCGCGAAAAGACTTTTCGCTTTAGATGCACCTGCGAATTGCACTCACATCTCATCAATAACGACATGTTTCTCGACAATGTGAAAAGTATCGTGGTGCACTGGAGTGGCACAGAGTCGGCAAAGACTTTCCGATTGCTGGCAAAAATGCCGAAACTCGAGAGTCTTGGCATCGTCATTTCCAAACTAACCTTTATTCATCTTAATGAACGATCAGCTTTGATGAAGACTTATTTCCCTTTGGCGTTTAAGACTGTCAGAATAGCAGACGCCCTTGGCTTGGATGAGCTTTTGGAAATCCGGGGGCTGCACCAGGTGGGGGTGATGCTTGCGCCGACGTCCAGAGGTGGTTCCCAGTCGTATAAGATGGACCGGGCAAACCTCTTGGAGCTTCTTTCAAGCAGATTGACGCGGGCAAAGGAGGTAAGTTTGCGACATTTCAAATTTTTTTCAAAATCAGCAATCTAACGTTATACAGGACGAAGATCATGACATGGAGCTGGCGTAAAAGAAGTGGTGGCGTGGGTGGTTTTCAACGGCGAGATGAACACCAAATGGTATCAGCATGGTTGCTCACGGGATTTTTCTTCTCTTTTTACTTCATCTTCGGTTGGGGCGGTTTTCTCGCTCGGCATGTTTTAATTGTCTTAAAGTCAACGTTGTTCAGGGCCAGCTCGCGGATCGGGTGATCAAGTCAAATATCAAGCATGGTAATTAATGGATAGGGAGTTTATAATCGTAACCACAGTCATGAACTATAGCCACTAGGGTTTTTATTTAGCAAGCATGGTGGTGCATCGCGGCATGTAACAACAGATAAATTACGATAACCTCCATAAGAGAAATAAAGGCCTCGTACTCAAAAAGCGTTGTGAATGTTCTTGTCTTGTGCTCATACAAGTATGGGCATCCGGCTCAAGATCAGCAGGCGTGGACACGCTGACCGAGCATGGAAACAGACGGACTATTAGAATTAAGGAGATCTACAGTACCTACCGTGAGAGCATGCCACTTCTCAATAATGGCTTGAAGAAGATGCTCATTGCTATTACAGACGCGCCTCTTTGCCGCCTCCTGATGAAGCTTAAGCAATTGCAAGCTAGAGCTGTCGAGGAGAATTAACCCGGCAAAATTTGAATCGGTGGTGCAAAGTGCGAATTGCGCATAGCATAGCCACACTGTATCCGGAAGATTGGATGCCGATAGCTCCGAGAGCAACACGTGATTATTTTGTTAGCAGGCGCTTTCGTGTGCCCTACTTTGTGGCCCCACAAGGGCCGAAAATTCCACCATGTTTAGCGAGTGCTGCCAAATCCTCCGCTCTCTTTACTTCAACCCGAACAATCGATTCTAACGAGCAGCAAGGCAACGTCCCGATACAGTTGCCCAGCATGTCGCTCGTCACGGGAGAGAAGACGAACTTCCAGTTCGTAAGTCATCCCTTCACTCTCCTTATGCGCATTCAAGAGACGGGGTTCCAGTTGCTACGAAGGTTTCACGCGATGGGTCGAATGTCATTGATTCAAGGCACCAAGTTTCGGGGCATCTGGGATACTTTTTCTTTGGCTGCGACGAGAAGGAACAATGTTCGAAAAGTGAAGAGATTTTCTTGGGGCTAACTTTCAATTGTTGTAGATCTTGCGTCTTCTGAACACCAACGTTGATGGCAAGCAGAAGGTTATGTACGCCTTGACCAAGATCAAGGGTGTCGGTCGCCGATACTCCAACTTGGTCTGCAAGAAGGCTGATGTCGATCTGAACAAGCGGTACGAAATACACCCACCAATACCAAGTCCTCGTTTTTGGCAAAAAAAGGCCTTGGAAGCGGAATTGAAAGAATTTTTGGAACTAACGAAGTTTGCTGCAGTGCTGGTGAGCTTACCTCCGAAGAGCTCGAGCGTATTGTGACGATCATCCAAAACCCCACACAATACAAGATCCCCTCCTGGTTCCTCAACAGACAACGCGACATTGTTGACGGCAAGGACTCTCACATCCTGGCCAACGGTGTCGACTCCAAGCTCCGTGAGGATCTCGAGCGCCTCAAGAAGATCCGCGCCCACCGCGGTCTCCGACACTACTGGGGTCTCCGTGTCCGTGGTCAGCACACCAAGACTACCGGTCGTCGCGGCCGGACCGTCGGTGTGTCCAAGAAGAAGGGTGGCTAATGGTTTTATTGTTTTCGGTCTGGGGTGGACAGGCGTGACGGCTGGGTTTTTCATCGTTATGATGAGCATTTCGAAGGGATTGCTTTCTGGCATACGCAGCTGGTGCTGTACTCTAGATCAGAGTCAAATGAATTAAAAAGCATTTTCAAGGCGTTTTACCATGATGACGGTGCTCAAAATTGTGAAGGCCACAAAATGATGAAATCCCTGCTGTGCCCGGCGAGAGACGTATATACGTTTGTTACAATGGAACATAAAGGAGTTCTACGAATTATAGAGTTTTTTTAAGGATCAAATTTCTCCTAGGGTATCATTTTATTCCTTTTTTTTCCCTCTAAAAACTGGCTTTACTGTGTGCATGCATATATTAATCCTCATGCGTGACCGCCATATCCAACACCTCGACTCTGCCTTGACCTTTTGTCTCATTACCAATGAAATCAGACAGAGCCTTGAAAGCACCCGGTTCGGCAAAGCCCACTACCTCCCACTCTGAACCCATGACGTCTTGGTTCTCAACCTCTTCAATGTAACCCAGAATCCGGTCCTTGACTGTGCCTGGGGCCTTTGTTTCGCCGTCCTCTTCTTTGGAGGCGGTCTTGGGGGCCTTGATGGCCTGCTTGAGGATATTCGTAGGGCACGTAATGCGGAGCTTCATCCTAGCACGCGCAACGGGAATAGGCTGGAAAGCAATCAGCGCCTTCATGGCATCCAGGGCCTGACTCTTTGCGCTCTTGGTCGTCACCACGCCCGTCCAGGTGTGTTCCTTGGTTTTTGGTTTAGCCTCACCAGCCTCTGTCGTGGTCGGCGTAGCGGTGCCTGAGTCTGTCGTCTTCTCTCCAGTATGCGCTTGCGAACTCAGCATATCCAGAGCCTTTTCAATCATTCCAGGCGTATACACCCTCTTTGTTCTCGGATCCACTAGTTTGCTAACCACAATACTGATAACCTCATTATGTACTCTTTCTAGCTGCGCCGCGCGCTCCTTTTCTCCCACTTGTAGCTCTCCCTTCTTCAGGATCTCAAGGACGATGTCGTCGGTGGACTTGCCCTTGCCAAAGGCCTTTTCGAGGTCCTCCTTGGGCGCGGTCTGACCCTTTGAGACATTGAGGAAGACGTTGGGAATCTGGAGGACGTTGTCGAGGTCGGTTTCGATACCGGAGCGCCACTCGAGGACCTTGTTCTTGTAGCAGGCGATTTCGAAGCGCTTCTTGCCTTTTTTCAGGCGCACGAGCGAGACGTTTGTGAGTTTGATTTGGTTAGATGGAAGGGTGATTTGACGAGACATTTTGGCAAAAAATCGAAGACAGAGGTACGCTAAAACAGAAGATGGAAAAGAAGCAAGAAAAAGATAGTAAAGAAGAGTTGGAGCTTTGGTGGAGGAAAATGATTTATAGCTTCGGTGATGCGCGCAAAGAAATGAAAAACGACGTCAAACTTAATAATCCATGGGAAGGCTGGCTGGGCTGATCACTTTGGCGGGGGGAAGGTACCTAAAGATGACAAATATAGACCATAACTAGATTGCTTTTGGATGACCATGTCTTTGTCACTTTTCATCCTTTGCGTTGGAACAGCCACTCTTTGGCGGTGCACAGCGAAGAGTCAGAATAAGAGTCACAATGAGGCTTTGAAGTCTATCATTAGACGGGATAGTAAGTTCTAATAAACTCAAAATTCAGATGATCTTCTACGACTAGATGAAGGCATACACGTACCTGCGCGTGAGTCTTGAAGAGCGCCCAGAATGGTTTAGTAGCTGTGTTTTATTTGTCACCACGTCCATATGTCCAGCGCGATGCACACACTACCAACTTTTTTTTCTTCGCTGCGCTACCCCACCAACATCTGCGAACAGCCTTGCGAAACACCCTGGCCTTTGAATTTCTTCTCTGCTGATATTCTTGCTGGCATAGCCCCGCCTTTGTTGTGCGTTGAGTCACTGGAGGGTCTTAGAGTCATAGAGCCCACTGAAGCTTTGCCTTGTTGGTTCTTTATCGATTTCTGTTAAGCTCGTTTTTATCGATTGCACTGAGATATTGCGAATCATCGTGTCCCAGTTTATTCAACCCAATCTTCAAAAAGAGAGTTTTAGCTAGAATGGCCGACACTACGATTGCCCCGGCTATCGAGGACGCCACTGTCGATGCCCCTGCTGCAACGGGCAAGCAGGACATCAACCCGTGGTCCGTGTCTGGAGAGGTTGGCGAGGACGGAAAGGTCAAGGCCATTGACTACCGAAAGCTGATTGACGAGTTTGGCACCAGCTTGATTGACGATGCGCTGCTGGAGCGCTGGGAGAGAGTGACGGGCAGCAAGCCGCATCGGTTTATGCGTCGTGGGATTGTCTTTAGCCACAGAGATCTCACCACTATCCTGGATCGTTATGAGAAGGTGAGAGGAAAGGAGACGGCGGAATTCATGCCTATTACATATGGACGGATGAGGTTCATGTTGCTAATGCTTGAGTTTGGTAGAATGAGCCCTTCTTCCTTTATACTGGACGGGGTCCCAGCAGTGACAGCATGCACATTGGACACACCCAAGTGTTTGACTTTGTCAAGTATGACCTCTCGTAGTGCTTCACTTGAGCGGACTTTCTGACGTGGTATGATGCAGGTGGCTCCAGGATGTACTTGATGCACCCCTGATTATCATGTTGACAGATGGTAAGCTTTCCATCTCCATTCCTTCATGAGTAGCAATGAGAAACTAAGATTGAGCGTGCAGACGAAAAGTTCCTCTTCTCAGAGAAGCGAACAATCGAGGAGGTCATGGGCTATACTCGAACCAACGCCAAGGACATCATCTCTGCTGGCTTTGACCCCAAGAAGACATTCATCTTCTCAGACTACGAGTTCATGGGCGGTGCCTTTTACAGGAACATTTCAAGATTCTCAAAGCGAGTCACATTCAACGTGGCCAAGGCCGTATTTGGCTTTGACGGAAGGTGAGCTTGCTTCTACCTTGATGCACGCCTTTTGCTGTACGCCTTTTGCTGTGATCAAAGCTGTATAACTAACTACCATTTCTCTCCCCAGCTCAAACATTGGCAAGATTCACTTCCCTAGTATTCAGGGTGCTACATCCTTCGCCACATCATTCCCCCACATCTTTGGCGAAGACGAGAAGAAGACGGCCAAGATTCCTTGCCTGATTCCTTGTGCTATTGATCAAGATCCTTATTTCCGTCTGACGCGAGACTGCGCCGTCAGCCTCAAGTACGCCAAGCCATCTCTGGTGCACATGAGATTCTTGGATGCTTTGCAAGGTCCGGGCTCCAAGATGTCGGCCAGTGACGACACCTCTGCCATCTTCATGAAGGATACGGCAAAGGAAATTAAGAACAAGGTCAACAAGTACGCTTTCTCGGGAGGCCGGGAGACTGTCGAGGAGCACCGTGAGAAGGGAGGCAACCCTGATGTTGATGTTGCATACCAATACCTGCAGTTCTTCCTGGAAGATGACGAGGTAAGGCGATATACATATCACCGACTACAAAGAAGTTTCACTAACATGACGACTAGGAACTGGCCAAGATCAGGGCTGAGTACTCAAGCGGCAAACTTCTGACTGGCGAGGTGAGTGCCTAATTCCGCTGATAACACAACTGTATTTCCTCTTCTATATGCTAATCACTCCTCAACCAGCTCAAAGCAATTTGCATCGCCAAACTCCAGGAGTACGTCGGCGCATTCCAGGACAGAAGAGCCAAGGTTACGGACGAGGTCGTCAAGGATTTCATGGCCATCCGCCCGTTGGAATGGCAAGGCAACCCCAAGGTCCCTCGCGCTGACCTTGTCGTACCGGTGGTAAAGGCGGACGAAGCCGCGGCGGATGGTTCAGCAGAGGGAGGTGAGAAGATGACCAAGAACCAGCTGAAGAAGCTGCTGAAGGAGCAGCAGATTGCGGCTAAGAAGGCGGAGAAGGCAAAGCAGAAGGAGGAGACTAAATAGATGATGCTCTTTAGCTGGGAGCTTGTTTATCATAGGAAAAAAGAAAAGTATCAAAAGACAAATAAAAAGTTGAAAGAGAGTTTTCCACTATGATACGTAGACGGATAAAGATCACATAAGGTAGACTAAAGCTTGTGAGATAAAGCTTAGAGAATGTTAACGCTTTCAACAGCAGCAGTAGTAGCAGTAGCAGTAACAAAAGTAGTAGCCTATGCTATATTTACCAGTAACTGAAGCCAGTATTAGATACAAGCGTTGTTATAGTATATAAAGTCAAGAGACGTGTACTGATTGTTCAAGGACTCCTTTTTCTCCTTCGCAGACATTACCCGTCCACCCGCCCTACCCGAAAACTAGCAAAGAAAAGAAGCTGAGGGAGTTGATGGTACAAACAGAAAAATTGTACTGCTTGCCTACCCGGTTTTGAATTTTCTCCTATAGTGATTTGCCATTAGCTAAATTAAAGGCAGAAAGGAGAAAAAAAGGACAGATAAAACTTGCTATATCGCTTCCACTTCTCGAGACATTCTTTTCGCACGTGACCTTTTGCCGCAATCAAAGGATGTGTTATCCCTTCAATTCTTGTGGGGAGGAGGATGTCGCATGGTTCTTTGGTGGCAGGATCACGCGGCTCGGAGGTGGTAGATGACTTGTTTCTAACAGGCAACTCCTCGGCCGTGTCTACGTCTGTTCTAGAATATCAGCAAAGCTCCGCATAATCAAAACTACCTGTATGTTGGGCAACTGGACAGGTGTATTAATCCATCAGAACGGATGTGGTGAGAATGTCCAGTATCAGCGCTCTACGACGTTATTATACATGCTACTCAAACTAGCAAACGAAACTTGAGCATTGACATCCCTGATTCACATGATCATCTCGTAGTCACATCGTCCTCATCGGGCAGTGTTGATGTCCACTCAAGTAGCTACATTCGACGAATTTGATTCGTTGCGTCGATTCCTGCATAAAACACGACATTGCCAGTGTTAAAACAGAAAGATGGTTGAAATATGACCAGACCTAGAAGCACAGCTGGAACGGCATAGCGAACTTTATTAAGCTGCCATCAAAAGCCGGGCTATTGCTAAGAGCCCCAAAGGAACATTGCGATATGGAAGTCATCTTGATCAGAGCCTCTCGACTATGTTACCTATTGAAAAACACAATGTTGTTGATATCACGGACATCCTTGAAGCAAGCCGTCAAAGCGAATTCTTTTGAGTAATCCAAGAGACAAGGGGGTAGACTGTGATTATCAAGTTTTATTCAGTGGTCAATAATCTATCGGTGAACAAAGGAGCTATTACAAACATGAAGCCAACAAAGCTAACAAACCCCAAAAACAAATACCATCTAATTACACGCCCATCAATCCTCCAAAAGCACTTCTTGCTTCAGTTTCGAAGGCGACCGGACGCTGCCACCACTTGATCGTTTAGGCTGCTCAGGCTGTTCAGGAGGGACAGTCACCCATCCAGCCCCCGGCTTCGAAGATGCATAAATGAGGCACGAGTTGGTCGCCATATCTCCTTGTATATCATCCCACTGCTGTTCGCAGAGATCCGAACGGAAATCAGACCACGCCCAAAGAGTCACGCCCTTCTCGTCCGAACATAACATACTTGGCACTCCATCACGGCTATACCGTATGGCTACTGATATCTTCTTCGGTTCAGCTAGCTCTGTGTCCTCAACGTTGTCCTCGCCGTTTGTCGTTTCGCTGGAAACATCACTTTGGGAACCAGGGTTCTCAACCACCTTGACTTGTGATTTTGGGATCGCAATGATGTTCCAGGCTTCTTGATCCTCAGACATATCTGGTGGAATAAAATGCCTCGACTGCTCGTTACTCTTCAATGGTCTACAGATCTTGAGCCACATCCACGTGGTAATATGGCCGTGTTCGTGAGGTCTAGGATTGTTTTACCCTTGTTAGCTTTCTTCCCCTCCTCCAGCTTGTATAACTCAGGAAAATGCTGATACTCACACGTCAGATTCATAGATTGCAAGGCTTCCTTCTTTTGTGCCAAGACTCGCGCGGGACTCGCTCTCCCCAGCAGGGAGCACAGGCTCAGAATCAAGGAGTTCGCCCTGCAAATCGTAGCAAACCTTGATATGCCAAAATGAAAGGAGGTCCAGTTCAAGTTTTCTATAGCCATATGTGCGACAAGCAGACTGAAGGAAGAGGCGTAATTCTTCTCCCGGACCATTTTGTGCTAAAGACTGAGACACGCCGGGAGGCACGAAGGGAGTGTCGTTTTTGAGCCCCAAGACCGCCTGCAATCTTCGACTTGTATTTCGTCTATAGGCCAATGAACATTAGAATCGTTTTTCGGCTTCATCTTCGCCTTCCTTATCTCAGAGAGCTTTTACCTTTGGTCGATTCTGCGACAAAAATGGTCTGAGATAATGTCACTCTCTCCACTCGGATGACGTTTCTGATACTCATCTTCATCATCTTCTTCTTTTGGAATCATCACAGTCTGGGACTGCGATGGAGAATTTAGGTTCTGGAGAATACGTGGATTCACATGGAATTCTTTGTCCAGAGAGTCTTGTAAAGTAGCCACTTCATAAACGCTTTGGCTATCTTGAGCTGCTTGCTGCTGATTCTGAGCTTTCGTGAGGCCAATAGCGATGCCTGCGAGAAGCTTCTCTCGAACCGACCTTTTTGGCTTCTCCATTTTATTTGAGCCAGATTCTTTGGTCGAACCGTCTGGATCGCTTTTTTTCTTCTTAGTCTTTGGGGATTCGAGACGAGAGTCAAGAGCGTGTTTTGGCATAATGGCGAAGGTGCTCCCGTGAGATGTAAATATAATAGGCGATACTTAGCTCGTTGTCGAGATTATGACTGTTACAAGAGGAAAAAAAACAAGTTCTGAACATGTTCATCTATTGTTTGTGCCAAAGGGAAGGAACAAACGGCCAAAGATATCGTGAATCGGTTGAATCCGAAGAACGGGCATAATTCATTGATTCACTTCATCATTGCTTTGTGGCTCAGTAATGATAGCCTCTTTGGGAGGATATCTTTTGTCCCTTTGTTTCAATGTACTTTGTTGTTTCAAAGGACAAATACTTTGTTGCAATAACACTGCATAGCTTTCTACTACATATTGATTCCAGGGGCATTTGTTCACTTGCTCCTGCGTCATCTAAAACAAAAGCAATGAACAATACATGTGTATCTGGAAACTCTGAGACTGTGAGGCTGCCTCTTGCAACTTGAAACTCTCGCACTTGATTGGAAGGATTACGGTTGATATAATTAGCGAGTCAAGGGAGAGATGGTTTGGTAGCATGTGGAAGCGAGATTACATTGATGTATGCGAATTGATCTGCTTACACTCGTGGCTGTTCGTAAATGGCCTTTTCATGCCAAGAAAAAAAGCCCTTTGGCATTATCATTCAAGGTCATTATAGGACAAAGCAATAATAAATTCTTCTTAAGCACAGTTACGATTAATATCTTCTAATGCCGCTGCTCCTCGCACTCAACAGCGGCCCGATAAAGCTGAGCGCTGGAAATCAGGCTCTGGCCGCGCCTACCTAAAGGACGACAGATACCTACACGTAGACACCACATCATACCTACGCACCACTTCATACTATTACTAATATGATGTTGCTAAACACAGATCGACGTACTGAGACATCCGTGCTCTTATACGATACGATAATGCATGTCGTAAAGCCACAACTGCAAAAAACTAATGATCACCGCTCTGACTCAATCACATGTTGCGGCAGTGAGCGGGCGCCTATCTATTTATACACATGTACAGTGTATCCAGCGGTCCATTTGTTCCGAAGCAGCTGGATTAGCAAAATAATTTGCCTAATTAAAATGATCGCATGAACCAGATGTTCAACAAGCCAGCGTGAATACAAAAAAGGAGAAGAAAGAGAAGAAAGAAGTGGCTGGGTGACTTTCTATAGTATAAGTGTGTTCAACTTATATAAGTACGTATATAGAAGAACTGGATATCGGAAGGTAGGCAGACGCCCTGCTTGATCGGCTTGCTCGTAAATGCTCCAATAGGATAGCAGGATGGCCTTCACTATTACGAGCCTGCCAAGGCTACTCCAGCCCGCTCACCGACCGCTACCAAAGCAAACAGTATGGGTCCACTCAGCTCTTAGTATGCACATGCCCTCCAACGAGATTGACTGACAGCCACTTGTCGCAGATCAGGGCCGGGTCACTCCCGAAAACCCGGTAAGCGTAGCAAGCAAGCTTAAGAGAAATCTTGTCCAGGAGGGTTCAGATCTCCGCACGTTGGTACTATTCTGTGTCAGTGAGGCAGAGTCTTGTTGTCTCCCACTTATAGGTGCGTTACCCGCTGCGAGACGTTGGAAGACTGCTATAATTCTGCACGTAAATGCGTACAAGTCCACAACTGTAGCAGCCATTAGATAACAGTGCCAGTCGTAGAGTCCTTTCGAGATATTCGACGCATATGAGAGAGGTGGCATCCGCCGACTTGCTTAGGGAAAACTATGTATAGATGCAAAGTATATTCATCGCTATATAGAAGGGTGAATGCTGAGAAAGATGAAAGTAAATGGGGTGGCTATCCGATGAAAGGCGAGGGTAGAGAGAACGGAGAGTGGAAGAGAAGAGAAGAGAAAAGATAGGCCGGCTGAGTCGAGCTGTAGGCTCGTCTAGACCAAGCAAGGGGAAATGGAGTTTGCTCGAACCCCTGTCAACACCATCAAATCGAAAGGTAAACAAACAAAAAGAAAAGAAAAGAAAAGAGAGGAGACCAGAGACAGGGACGGCCACTCCAATTGAGCCACACTCTAGTTCCCACTCTGACGTCTCATTTCCACCTGAAAGAGGGTGGCACGGAATGCGCACGCCTCTCCCTCACATTACCTGGTATCTCACCAAGGTAGCACTGATCGTTCTTGTCATCCTTGTCCCCGCCATCACCCGCGGCACTGTCAGGTAGCACAAGTTCCGAGGGACTGGGCGGCATCCAAGTCGTGTCATCGGATAGAGTACAAGGGGCGCAGGGACTCATGTCGTGATATCCAGCCCACCCATCACCAGGAACCGTGAGCGTCGGTAGATAACACGGCGCTGGTGGAGTTTGGCATGCGGCCGTCATGCAAACCAGAATACAAGTAGCCAACAAATCGGTAAGTGCCATCGATTCAACAGTAGGCGGGGAATAAATAGCCTCAATCCTGGCTGTCAGAGGCTTATTTGAATTTGAACCATGCTGCTGCATCTGAGGGCCGCTGTGCATAGCGGGTACCGTCCAATCCTGACTCCGTCTGACAAAGCGAAGATAGTTGTCCAGATACCCTGATTTTGGGCCAACTAATCTAAGCCTAATCGTATCAGGTTCGGATTTGTTTTTATCGCTGAAGACGAGGTATCGACCTTTCAAGCACTTGGCCTTCATGTGGGCTAAGCGGCGAAGAAACAATATTAGCGGTGGATAGCCAGATTAAAAGGACTGTTTTCTGGTCCTCGGCAATGACCAACCCAGTATTGCTTCAAAGTTTTCTCTGCCCTCAACACAGACCCATCCTGAACAGCTGCCAGGAAAGATGTCAACAAAGCCGACACTGCAGGATTTCGAAAGCCAGTCCTTCACCTCTTGCCATGTCACTTTGAACGGCAACTAGGTAGTCCTCACTGACGTTAGAAAAGGGTCTAGTTGGGAGTAGTAGGAGAGAAGAAGAGAGAATACACTGCTCGGCTCTTCTACTAACATTGCAAAAGGTGACATGGTAAAAGCCAGTTTCGTCTCCCGGCTCTACCTTAAGTTGAATGGTGGGACAAACATATTGATTTGCCATATTGTAACAAGAATATATGTGAAGGGTATAACTCAGGGGTGAAAAGAAACAGTGCCGGGAGCTTGGCTGCTTCCCCGTGGGGAGAGAATGTGTTATTTATATATGGATCCACGTTCAAGTGGACGCCGTTGTCCACAAGGAACTAAACCAAGAGGTGCTCACTGAACTCTCGTCACATAAAACCGGAAGAAGCCGTTTATCGGTTAGATGCCGAAAGATCAGATTCGCTGTCGATCATGTATGCAGACACACAGGTATACCCTCTCGCGGCCCGGTGGCTGATCCACTACATCGCTCTTCTTATGTACTCCTGCGTCCAGAGCCAATACAAAAGTCTCAGAGGCCAATGTAGCATTTAATCGCGGATACAACGTTCAAAAAGGCGGCCGAAACTTGGCTCATAACCCCGGCAAGGCGATCTGTTCATGCGTCTCATGCCATCGTATTTTGGTCCTTGTCTCACACGACGATGAGCTATATGCACGTACATAACCGGGGAACACCCCAGCTTTGAAAGACAGGGGGCATGCAATATCATGCATCCACACTATGGAGTATTTTTAGTATTCCCAGCTTATGGTCGGTATGGAAAACGATAAATCCCCTCAGCTGGACGAAGAGAGGTTCATGCTTCACTGATGAGAATCGAGAAAACATGATGCCGCCATCGTGAATCAAGTTTTCCTCTTGCGATATTCAATATTTCCAGGGGCCAGAGGCTTACAATTAGCAGAGTAAGCTGCATCGGTAGATGAGACGGCAGGTCGATACTCTATGACTTGGATTAGAGCACGACATTCGGCCCTTCGCAAGGAAAATGCTTCTGCTTGTCGCTTTTTGGCAAGTAGCTTGTTTGGGCTGTTTTATCAAGCCACCTTGAAAGGAGAGAATGAAAGAATGTTTTCTCTCTTTTGTTCTTACACCCCATTGCGATACGAAGTACCCCTCGTACCAAATTGTCGTTGCATGGCCTTGCCATCACCCCCCGTGACACCCAAAACGCCACACGGCAGGGGCCTGATACCGCAGAATTGGGTGGCGTGCGCAATGCCTTTTGTCCCCGTATTGCTAATTGGCCGACAGTAATGTGTAGGATGTTCCTCGTTCGATTCTCACGGCCCGTAACGAGAGCGGGTTTCCATATCAAGACTGGCAAACGGCCGAGATAGTGAATAGCATGCGATTTAGACATTTCTAAAGGAAAATGTATCATCCATAACTTCATCTTCGTCATCCATCGCGTAGTGATTCGATGTCGGGCTACCGTATTGAAACTCACTACTGTCGTGGCTTACGGCAGCTTGCTGCCAGGGATTGACGCCATTACTGGCAACTGACGGAGACAGCAAAAGGTAATGCTGGGTATCAGAGACGAACAACACCGGCAGCTCAGACTCGCGGTTAATCCACGCAACCTGTGCTTTTCCCGCCGCCCTTACTTCAGGCAGGTAAACTTCTGGCACAAGAGGCGTAGGTCCATTGGATAAAGGATCCCAAACGAACGACACTCCTTGGTGCGCTGGATCTTGCGAGGTAATTAGAAGGAGCTCGCGAGAGCTTACATGCCACTGAAAGGAAACAGTGGTGTGAAATATCAGCACAGCCCTAAGTTCGCCCGCAACAACATCCCAAATCCATAGCGTGCACGGCGAGTCGTCCAGCCTCGTTGCCAAGAGGGTCGAAGATGAGTCAAAAGCTGCCATAGAGCAACCGGATTTGTTTTCTTGGGCGCCGTGGTCAGTACCAGATCCGGGGGGTGACAATATCTGAGTGGCCCTAACAAAGGTGTGGGTGGTCCTCCCTTGAGGAGGCTCGGCTCCGATTTGCTCTTGCCATACCTACGATGGGACTTAGTATCGTAGTACAATTCATATTTACTTTCTCTGTGTGTTTCTCTCACCTGTAGAGTATCCTTTGGTGCAATGGTGGCAGGATGAGGTAGTCTCAGTTGCGCCCTCCATGATTGCGTGTGAAGAATGGCAACATCTCTACTGTAGTCTCCAATGGCACAGAGTTCTGCATTGGGGCTCACTTGGCATGTTTTAATGCCCAGTTCCAAGTCAGCATCCGGACCTTTTAGCAGATTGGATGCTGTAAGGGTGCGGAAATGCTGGCCGTCAGCCGTGTAGAGAAGCAAGCGGTGACCTTGGGCAGCCGACTCCCAGAGAAGAAGCCACCGGCCGTCAGGGGTCCATTCGAGGCCCTGGGCGTCCAGCGTCTCCGGACACCAGGATCTGAGCACTTGCCGATCAGCCGGGCGATGAAGGCTCACGACGTCTTTGCCACCAGAGCGGGCCAGGAGTGCCAGATGCCCGGTCCCTGGGCGAAGAGATACCCCTCGTGACGCAGAGGTGGCTTGATGGAACTTTGGACTCGAGATCTCGACCACCCCTGAGCTGCATACATCAAGAACCACAAGCTTTAGGCCAGATGCCGACCAGATTAATATTTCGGTATCTCGAGCCCCGAACTGGAGGAAAGAAGGCTTTCCGCTAATAGAGCTGTAATTACGAACTATTGCATGGAATTCAGAGCCACGAAGCGCGGAAAAGACATCCAGCTGATCAGCCGTAGAAACGAGAAACTTGGTCGACGACGGAGCCCACAGCAGTGTAGGCACATTTGTCGAGCTGGTACTTGCGGCTGCGGCGGCAAATGGAGAGCCAGACCCAAACGAAAGTGTCACGGCATTAGTGACTTGCAAGGTCTCAGTTGAGCGGACGATAATCCCGGAGGCTCTGAGAGTCACAATATATCGGCCATCTGGACTCGGCCTGCAGTGGGGCGAGGCTGAGATGTGTCAGGATTAGCAGTTCGAGCAACACAAGGGAGGTCGCCATGGCGCTTACATACACTCCAAGGCTGTAGCTGAATGCATTGAGCCGGTGTGATCTGTCTGCAAGTCTCCCTGATAGAGTTTGGCGGGTGATATACCGGGCCACGCGAAGGGCACTTGTGCCTAAGCCTTTCCTCGCCTAGATGCTCAAGAAGAGCTCTGTTGGGCAGAAAACGATGTATCTTGCCCAAGCAGTCTTTATCCCTCTACTTTGAGAATCCAATTATAGATGTGATTTCAGGCAATGGATATCCCTAGCTGAGTGAAGCGGATTGCCAAATTTGGCTTTGCCTTTCTCTTTCTTCTTCTGTCGTTTGCGGTTGCGAAATCAAGACAGCAAGAGGAACAGAGCCGCTAGGAGCCGCTGTATAGCTGTATCAAGACCAGCGGGAAGCCAAAAACACGCTCATATGTGGTGGTGGTGCACGGCAGCTCTGTGGGGTTGATGCTGATATTAACCCGTGCAAGAGCGAGCGAATGAAAAAGTGCTGAGGTTGAATATTGGAGGCGTGCATCAATCAGCGTGCGGGAAGAGCTCGGCTGTATCAGTGGATGCAGGTGCCCTACGGGGAGAGCTCTTTAGTGCTCTACACCAGTAAACTTTGCGAACGCTTCCAGCTAGCGCCCGCAATTCTCCCCTCCAGCAGCACCTAAACGCGGCCTAGCCGCCTACAGATTCCCCTCATCTCTGTAATCCGCGGCGTTATCGGCATGGTTGCATTATGAGGAGGGAGGCAAAAGTCAATCTCAGCTTCTTCCTCTTCTTATCAATCTTTGATCTTCTGAATAATTTCTTTTCTTTTGGTGTTTTGGATTTAGTTGTACCTTCTCTTTCTTTTTTTTTTTTGATTCCATCCGCAACGACTATACAAAACATCTTACAAATCCAATCTATCGAGACGCCACCTACACGCCTCATAGCTTTGTCTCACACACTGCTCTTTAGCTCCTCGTGAGCTTCATCCCAGGTCCATCTACCCAGAAGCCCGTCATCTGGACTTTCAACCAGGCCGCTGGCATCTTGTGCTTGTCCTGCTTGGTCTGCAGTAGCATGGCATATAGACTGCTTAGGAATAAGTCGTGGTAATTCAACCGCTCGGCGCATAAAACCTACCACCTCTAGCGGAATTCGCCACCAACGGGGTACCGCCGATATAACAAACACTGCACGCCTGTCTTAGAGCCGTACTCTGTGTCTCCGATGCAGGCCACTCGCCGTGTAGCAGCAAGGCTGCCTCCAGGCCTCGTACGAGCCCCAGCTGTCTCAGGCTCATGGTCACCCGCTGGCACGCTGGCCTTTACGAGACATGTGGCGTCGACCGCAGCGGCTGCTGAGGCTGCTCAGCCAACACCGCAGCCAGCACAAACGATTCCTCCTCCAACAGTGAGCGGTCTTTCGCGCCGGGAGCGTATCCGCGAGGCCAAGCCCTTCTCGGAGTTCCTGACCGACACCTTCCACCGAGAGCATGACTATCTGCGCATATCGCTCACCGAACGGTGCAACCTGCGATGCGTATATTGCATGCCGGAGGAAGGTGTGCCGCTGTCTCCGGATAGGGAACTCCTCACAACGCCAGAGATTATCATGCTGTCGTCCATCTTTGTGTCTCAAGGCGTAAACAAGATCCGACTTACCGGAGGAGAGCCGACAGTTAGACGAGACATCCTTTCTCTGATGCATCAACTCGGCACTTTACGCCCGTACGGACTCAAGCAGCTGTGCATAACCACCAATGGCATCTCACTGCATCGAAAACTTGACAGCATGATCGAGTCTGGGCTCACCGGTGTAAATCTGAGCCTTGATACCCTGGATCCGTGGCAATTCCAGATCATGACTAGGAGAAAGGGCTTCGATGCCGTCCAGAAAAGCATCGACCGCATCCTGGAGCTCAACAAGCTCGGCGCAGGAATCAAGCTAAAGATCAATTGCGTTGTGATGCGCGGCCTAAACGACCGAGAAATCATCCCGTTTGTCGAGATGACTCGGGAGAAGGATCTCGAAGTGCGCTTCATCGAGTACATGCCCTTTGACGGCAACAAGTGGAACAAGGGCAAGATGTTTTCATATAATGAGATGCTGGACGTGATCCGAGCTGAGTATCCCGGACTGCAAAAGGTCCGAGACGGAAAAAATGACACGAGTAAGACTTGGAAAATCCCCGGCTTTGAAGGTCGTCTCGGCTTCGTCACGAGCATGACGCATAATTTCTGCGGCTCTTGCAATCGGCTCCGCATCACGAGCGACGGAAACCTCAAGGTTTGTCTCTTTGGAAACGCCGAGGTATCTCTACGAGACATCTTGCGCAAGTCCAACAGCGGAGAACCCATTGATGAGGAAGCGTTTGAGGCCATGAAACAAATTGAGATGAACCGTCGACAGGGCCTCGGGGGTACATCTGATGCCCCCCTAGGGATGGCACCAAACGAGGCCGAGCTCCTTGACATAATCGGAATGGCAGTGAAGAGAAAAAAGGCGAAGCATGCTGGTATTGGTCAGTTAGAGCACATGAAGAATCGGCCAATGATCTTGATAGGTGGGTAAAACAAACAACACAAGTTAAAGCAAAACAAGGATTTCATAGCATATACCCCCCCCTTGGATACAAAATCATATATCAGGCGGATGGTCGTTGTTTCGATATATGATTCACACCATCTCGCACAATCTCCATTGGCATCAAAAAGACACATTGATCGGACGACGATATAAACATCTATCATTCATTCACCCTCGTTGGTTATACTTGGCGATTTTTCATACGCTAAGTAATAAATGTATGATAGATCCTATTCCGCCAACGCTCGTCAACATGCCACAAAGAATCCGACATTTGCTCAGTCGCAACATCATCTCATCTACTAGACCATCAACAGGCCGCCCTCAGCAACTACCCCATCAACTAAGACGAGTATCCAGCTCACGCAGTCTAAGAAATGGAAAGGAGAAAAAGGAAAACACAGCAGCAACACCGGCATCATCAGCATCGTCTCGCCTAACACACGTGTCCGACTCCGGCTCAGCACACATGGTCAACATCTCCGAAAAGCAAGTGACGTCGCGCGTAGCCACGGCCGCCTGCGCAGTACACTTCTCCTCCGACACGCCCATCAGGCTGATCCAGGAGAACCAGATGAAGAAGGGTGACGTCCTAGGCGTGGCCCGAGTCGCCGGGATCATGGCTGCGAAGCGCACCGCCGATCTCATCCCGCTTTGCCACCCGATTGCCATCTCCAAGGTCGGCGTCGACCTGGAGGTCGTCCCGGGGAGCCGGCAGATCGAGATCCGGGCCACCGTGGCCTGCGACGGGAAGACGGGGGTCGAGATGGAGGCGCTTACTGCGGCGTCGACGGCGGCGTTGACGGTGTATGATATGTGCAAGGCTGTGGACAAGGGGATGAGGATCGAGGGGCTTCGGGTTGTGCTCAAGGATGGGGGGAAGAGTGGGAGATGGGAGATGCCTTGATGGTAGATTGTGAGATGCTATCTTGTAATTGATTTTGTCCTACCTCTTTCATTTACTCGTTGACTCTCTTTAGCCTACAAGCATCAGAAGAGGTTGGAATAGCATACAAAGGGACAATGGCGTATTGATTTCTATACAACACCCCCATGGTGTAGTTGATTGATCTACTAGCGATGTACATGCAAGTATGTCATACATGATGCTCTATACCTCGCGATTGTGCAAAAAGTAGAGGTTAGAAAAGCAAGGGACAATGGCGTCTTGATTTCTAGCCATGCTACACCGTCATGGCGTAGTTCATTGATCTACTAGTGATTTACATGCGAGTATGTCATACTGGATACCCTAGACCTCGCAACTGAGTAAACCACAACGTTTAAAAAAACAGCCTCTACCTAAGGCATCGCCTAGTCCCACAAAGAGAATGATGCGCAGGTATGAAAGAAGCAAAAGAAGAATGCTCTTCACCGTAACCATTCTAGTGAGCGTCTTTGACCTCATCGGTGAACACGGCGGTCATGACTTTCCACGCACATCGCGATCTCACTCTCGAAGAGCCCACTAAAAGAACAAGGCAACGCGCCCCGGTTAATAGACAAAAAACGGCCCCATGGCTAATTCTGTGATTGGCATGCCCGTATGATTCATAGACTTGGGACTTGCTAACGACAGCCCCCTCCCCTCACCACCACGACTCCAGGCGGGCCAGGCAGTAAGCTCCCAACAACGCAGCGGTGGAGGAGAAGTAGCTGGCCGAATGACCTCCCGCAGGAATAGCTTCAACTTTTACTGAGAGAGCCTGACCACCGGTCTGCGTTGTCAAGTTATGCACGTCGAGCGGTGAGCAGAAGCTAAAAAAGCAAAAACAGCATCACAAACCAAGGAAATGCTCTAAAACCAGACACACCACACCTACAGCACAGAGCAGAACAAGGCCGTGTGGATGGGACGTTGACACCCAACCTTGCCCTCCCATTTCCCGTCTCGCAGCAAGCAAGGTTGCAACGCTCTGCAAGAAAGGCTGCCAAGCTGCGTCCATCGCGACGATCCCATCACGGTGCCCCTCCTCCACACAAATTTGCCTCGATGGCTGTGGGATATACGGAGAAACGGCCCCTCCGTTCTCAGCGAAGCAGCTTTGCTTGCCCTGCGATTTATCTCCGACCTGCTGGGGCTTGCTGGGGCTTGCTGGGGCTGCTGCGCGTGTGCCAGAAGGCGCATAAAGGCATCGACCAATCAGGTGTTAGTTGTAAAAGGCAATGAAGAATGCTTGAAAGGAGATGCGCCAATCGCAGCGCAGCGATAAGGACAAACTTAGAAGTCGTGCAGGCGATTACCCCATTCGGAAAGTCGCAGAGTCTGAGTAAAAGTTGGGTTGGTTGGCCACTTTGAATGACAGATTGGCAGATTGGCGGCGGAAGCATCCATAAAAAAGAATTAAAGTGCGAAACTATGATTTGGAGCCTCAGCTGTATAGGCGATGATTACCTGTGGTCCATACTGTATCGCAGCCAGCTTCTATATTACCACGCCCATGGATTTGGGCTCTTCCTGATACCTAGGCACATACTCCGCGTTATACAGCATGGCACACCACACGTCATGGTTCGTCTCAGTGCCTAAGAAGCAGTCATGTCCGTTTCTGCAGCTTTGGCACGTTGGGATATCCATCTGCCGCTCCGAATAGTCTTGGAATCTGCCGATTTTCACGTTTCTTGTGTATGACTGCATGAACATGTGCATACGCAGACGGGCACGCAGAGCATGGCTGCCATACAGAGAGGACTGTAGGAATACTACTAGGGCAGGCATGCATTCGCTTTTCGGTGTAATGATGAGCTTCTTCTTCTCTGCGGTATTCTGCTTTGCCTCTATTCGGAGCAGAATGGCCGTGCAAGTGAATCTAGCAGCTCAAGTTGTCCCTTGATCGGCCAGATTACGCTGACGGGGCGGCCGTGTGGTGGCGACCGAGTCGCTCTAGTGAGCTTCTTCGAACAAAAGAGCGCGAGTAAGTTCGGCTTCTGCCTGCCTGTGCTTTCGCCTAGCAGCAAAAAAACATGGCGTTGTGGGTTTTTTCTTTTTTTGGCCGCTCCACCAGACCGTGCCGAGGGACGTTGACAGGCCGCCAGAAGGACCGGGATGGCTTGTATCTGCTAGCAATAAGACACGTAAGAAGAACTAAGTGCTCCGTAGAGAATGTGTAGCATTATATGCTGGCGGCAAATTCGCTAAAGAGTGTTCCTGACGAGCTTGCGGCGGCTGGTGGCAAACTAGCCAGGAAGTAGCATCTATGCGAGATCTTCGCAGAGCCGCAATGGAAGTTCTAGTGCCCCTTCTTTTTCCATTTTCCACACCAGAACAACGCCGTCTCTCTGCTACCTGGCGGTGTACTCCGAAGCAATGAGCTAGCTATCAATAGCAACGAGACAGATGGAGAGATGGAGCGTACAGAAGCTTTTCGGCAATGATTCGGAACTGCAGCTGGTCTGAACTCATCTGGTGTGGCCTGGTGCCATCCGGGGGCAGGGAATGGAAGATCAAAGACTATCCAGGCAAAAGATGCCGAGCCGCGAATGTTTAATTGCGCTCGGGATTTTTCCGTCTTTTCAAGAGTGAAAAATGTGTCTGGTTCTGCAGGACCCCTACCAAAAACGGGGAAAGCAGATATTGCTACCAACTGCTAACATGCACTCGTAATGGCGCGCGGGATGGATACCGTCTTGATGGGGTAATTGTGAATAATAGCTGTGTAAATACTCGCGGCAGAGCACGAGAGAGGCTCCATAGCGGATGTTACCATGGCTCTGTGCTCCGGTCTGGTGAGGTCCCTGTTCGGTTCCTCGCATAAGAACCATGTCAATTCAGAGAGGAGACTGCAAAAAAAGACTCAAGATTCATTTCAGGAACCAAAAAGCCTAGCAAGCTGTGCCTGTGGTGAAAGAAGATCAACACGCCGAGACCTTTGTGGTGGAGACTAGCGCGAGGGTCGTCTTGGGGTCTTATTTTTCCTTTGGGGGTGGGGGGCAAGAGTGGCATCTCCGAAACGGTTCATGCGACAGGCGACCAGAAAAGACGCAGAAGACGAGGAGAGGCGAGAGGCGGGGTGAGAAAGATGGAGAAGAGCATTGAGGGGAAAGCAGGACTCGTAAAGACTGAGAGAGTTTGAGTCGTGCACAGCAGAGAAGCTGCTGCGAGCGAATGAGACTGAGAGAGTTTAATGGCCGTGCCCGAATTGATAGAAGAGGCACAAACTATAAGCCAGCTCCAGGCAGGATGAGATGAGAGACATGTGAAAGCTCTCGTGCGGTACATTGCTTGCCTCATTGTCTGCAGCCACTGGCAAGGGTTCCGGCTGCTTTGTTTAATTAGCCATCCCGGCAGGGGCGGCGTCGACACCACTGCATTGCCTGAGCCGATCGAGATACTGCCGCCGATGTCATTGCCAGTGGAGGAGTGGTCGAGGCCACTGCATGCATCGTCGTCAGGTGTCACCGTGCAGACCAGGCGTTTGCGTGTTGTTGCGTTGCGTTGCGTTGCGTTGAAGTTGAATGCACTTCGCGGTGCAGGGATGCGGCAGGGATGCCCAAAACTCGAACTTGACACTGGACTGGCAATGCCACAGGAGCCACAACTCAGCGTTACGAAGCACTACCGCCAGCACTTGTAGCTCAATGGCCTATTGTAGTAGTTGTTGGTGCTCCACCTCCTCGCTGTGGGCTCCCGGACCCCTATCTGGCAAAGCAGCCCGTTGCCAATCGGGCGGCGGATACGATGGGGCGAAATCGTGGCGAGTGGGTGAGAGTGAGCGACCAGCGTTGACAAGAACCGGCTGGCGTTTGCATTTGTCGTCAGGTCGCTTTTGGTGTTGAGAGCTGATGCGTGGTGGCGCTCGTGTCTGCTTTGGTCCCCTGGACCACAGGGCACTGCTAATTCCAGTATAGAGGTATAGAGGCTCGTGCTGGGAGATGCTCGCGCCGTCGTACGAATTAGAACGGCTTTAAACGACCACGCCAAGACGGGGCGCGCGTTTTGCGCTGCAGGAAGGTGCCAGGGGACTCAGTAATTAGCGCTTGCTCTGTTTCTCTCTTTTTTTTCTTCAAGCTGTCGTTTTGGGCACGCGGCAGGTAGACGCTACCTTGGACGCCGCTATGGTTTCTGGGTCAGAGACGTACTCTATACCCGCCGGCAAGAGGCATCGGCTTCCCTCTCAGAGGCAAGAGAGGACAGGCTGAGAGCGCGAAAAGGCAACAAGGCACCTGCCACCCTGGCCCGTTAAGCTTACGATGACGAATGGATGCATCTCTAGGCCCTCCCATATTCTTCAGTGAATTCCTATTTTGACGGCAGCAAAACACGCTGCTTATTGCCATTGTCATCGCACACCGAATGTTGTTGCATGTAAACACTGCTAAACCTGGCCCGGGATGGCTTCTCACATCTCACAACAGCATCGAACATCCATACTTTCCGCCCAAGGCCCAAATCGAGCTCTAGCACCTGGTTAGCCGAAGTGGGCGACGGAGCGGGCCAATAGGCTGCCCATCAATTCAACGCAGAGAGCAACAAACCCCAAAGTTCCGTGCCACACTGGAGCAAGGCCGGAAAAAAAGAGGATCCCCCAGGTGCCTTGTCCAGACCACGACGACCCAGCTTCATTAGTCGTAGGACCCAGTATGTGCCGTAAGTTGCATGCCCATGATATGTGACCTGGGCTGCAGCTGGTGCATGTAAGTCTGCATGCTTGCAGTAGCAGCAGTACTGTAGCAGCAGTAGCTACCTAGGCGCAACTCTTTTTTTTTTTTTCCTTTCTTTTCCTTTTCCCTGTTCCGTTCGATGACTCTTTCTGCCTCTTCCCTGCTCTCGTCGCAGATCGCACCAACACCAACACACAGACCGAGATATCTTACATCACCTGGGTATATCCTTGCCTCGTCCATTATAACGTGTGCAAGTGCCTACAAGCACTGCTGCTCTCGCCAAAGCCCCAGTTATTCCATGTG